GGCTGTCACAACTATGGCAAACAGCCACCATTTTTGGTCCACTATAGAGAGCCTTCAGTATTAAGCATATAATTATGTGCACTGTCCTGAACTGTTTGAGATTTAATTTTTTTTAAAAAAAACACCATGTATCATAGGAAGTGGGAGAACGCATTGTCTTTAATCCCTGTTTACTTGTGAGAGGAATGTTTTCTTGCTCAAACTACAGAAGCACCAACATGGATTTGGTCCAAACAATTGGTTGCAATAATTCCAAAGCAAATCAGAATAGAAACCATCTTCCTTTGCCCATTCCCTTTCATCTTTTCTCAGTTCTGAGTACAGATGCTGGTGAAGAAAACACTCCATCATCTCAAGTTCCCAGCTGGAGGAAGTTTTGAATTTCCACCACCCTTTTACCTCCCCCGGGGGGGGAAATGACACTTTACATTGCCAGCCACAGATATTCTCACACTTGAAGTCATAAGTCACAATTGACCAGGGCATGCTACAGCTATATTTAAGAGTAACAGACACATCACACGCTGACACATGTAAAAGTACTGTAGTTCATTTTTAAAAAAACCAACAAAGCCACTTCCGAGATGTGGGGATTTCGAGCAATGAAGTGACAGAGAAGGGAGCACCCATCCCATCCTTATGCTGTCCACTGTATTCCCTTTCCAAATCACATTCCCAAGCAGCTCTTCCCTGAATGTGTCAAAGATGCATGCAAAAACATGGTTGGAATCCTGTATTGGGTAGGGAGCCATTGGGAACAAAACTTCAGGCAGGGGAAGGGTTAATTTGCACACCCCACCTATTTCCTCCCTCTAACTGCCCCTCCTGAAACAGCTAGTTTTGCTTTCTTTCATTTTTTTAAAATAAACGAATGGCATCATGGCACTCTTACATGTTTTAGCGTGCAATACGCAGTTTGCCCCCCCCCCGAGTATTTTGAAGTTTAAGGTGGAACTTAAGCACGTACCCAAACATCTTCTAAGGAAAACAGAATTTAAAACTGTTAAGCTTTGCCTTGATTGTGTCATTTGTTTTTAAATGATGAGAAGAGGTAGATGGGAAGGAGGGAACAGAATGGGCTGGCCAAAGTGTGCGCTTCAAGACAATTCATGAGAAGGCTGACTCTGGCCAGACCAGTGCCTAAATCACTCCCCTCCACAGGAGAAGACAGGAAGGGCAGATACTGGGACGTGTACACATGTGTGTGTGTGTGTGTTGGGGTAATAATCGAAACGGGCTTGAGAGACAAGTGATAGCTAGAAATAAGGGCATGCCAATATCCTCGGGTAAACTCCCCTTTGGGGAAGGCACAGGTGAGCCTTAGCCTCCTGTAGAACTGGGGTGGCTAATGCCCGGTCTGGGGCCTCAGCTGGCCCACCCTCAAGCCCCTCCAAGTTTGGTAGCAGTGGCAAAAGAAACAACCATAAAAGTTGACACATCCCTGGGAGGGGTTGGAGAGATTTAGTAAGGCCCAGCGAATCTGACAGGGACGCAAATTGGCTCCCTGTCCAGTCATCAGAAGGATGATTTGATGAGCAGGAAGGTGGCAATACCTCCTTTGTCAGCTGATCTGCTGTGGGAGGGGGCAGTGTGCCCATGTGAGAGTGTGGGGTGGTCACACCACTGACCTGTGGGTGCCACAGGGCTGGCTGAGGGAGATTACAATCTTTGAGCCAAACAGGTTTAGGCATGTCTGTTCTAGGGTAACTCTAGCTAAAGCTAGATGTTCTACCTAAAGGATCCCACAGAAGATGGAAAGTAACCTGAGTAACAGCTGAAATGTTTTTGAACTCACTTGTACTACTTCCACATATCCTCTTTTTAATCTTTGTATGCCACAGGCTCCCTGGCGAATGAAATACATGTTTGTATTGTTGTACCAGCTTTTCTGTATATAAGAGAGAGATTATCTGAATATTTCCATCACTGAATATGGCTTCCTAGAATATAGCTAGCACCCCATAATTATTTGTGCACGAGTATCTGCCCTCAGAGCTGGTGTCATCAGAAATGGGTCTCATCTATCCAAGTACCTGATGATTGTTTCAGCAACTTTTAGGACTGGGCTGTTAGTCTGGCATGTTAAAATTAAGAGAGTAAAAAAACATTACCCTACATTTTGAAGGAGCAACGGGCTATGTCTCTTGATTTCTGCCCATATCTTAGAATGAGAAGAGCGTAGCTTATGCAGGACAAAGTAATACATTACAACAATGGGAAGATTTTGGGTGGTGTTTCCAGTATACACTGCCTGAATTAAACAGAGCAAAAGACATTGCTAAAAATATCCTTCTGTCTCTCTGACAATTTTTTTTAACAGATGTCACCAGCTGATTTATGACAGGTTTATTTTCTTGCTTCCTATTTATTGCACCTTTAAGTTCTTGGTTGCCGGAAGCTTCTATTGCCTGAATATTTTATTATTATTATGATTATGTAGCTTGACCCAGGTTAGAAAACCAAACACTGTTCAGAACTATACATTTCTACAGAAACAAATCACATTTTGATAGTGGTAATTACAGCCATCTTCTCTCTGATGTTCAGAGACAGAGAGAAATAAGATTTCCAGCGTTCTGTGCTTGCGGGAACCTGCAGTGTTCTTTTTATTGCCATGTAGAAGTCAATTAAAATGAATCCTCCTGGAAAAGCTCCCAAATCTCCAGTAATTATCGCTGTCTAGACAGTGTACTATGCTTTGAAGAGGCTTCCGACACAATATATTTGTGTGTAAGGAACAGGCCACTGTATATTTAGTGATTCTTAAGATTCCGACTCCCCTCTGGTTGCACGGAGCAAGCAAGAGAAAGGTTTTGATCTTTAGGAGCCTGACATTAGCGACAATAAAAGATACAAAAATACACATAGGAGTATCTTCTAATACAACAGATGATAAATGAATGTGTAGGTATCTGAGCTAATCAATGGAATTTCATTCAGTCAATGAATAATGGGTTGAATCCAAAGGTGCCCTTCTGGGTGTGGAGTGGGCCTTCCTCTCACAGCACAGCTGTTTTACAGATCATGCAATAGCCTTGCATAAATCCACAATGTTTTCCTGCAGTTGAAAGCATGAGTACTGCTGTGGAGCAGACCTATTATAGCACTGTGTGATCTCTTTTGTAAGGGTTTGCTGAATGCCACTAGCAAGCTGTTTTCCTTCCACTCATGTGTCTTTGGATCGAATTCAATCGCTTTGCCTATTTGCCATCTCTTACTTCTTTTTTTTGTCACACCCTATAGCAGTTGCTGACCAGAATCCAGAGATTTGCTTTCCACAAGCAGATCAAGGTAATGTTCCTTGTGAAACCTGCTCACGCGAGGTGCACTCAGAGAACACTTTCCCCATGTGGAAGCCTGTTTCACGAAGCTACTTGTACGCGTAGCTTGTGCAAAGCCTTGCACATAGAGCAGGGGTTCCCAAATGTCCCCCCATGAACAACTTGAAATTGCTGAGGGCCACTCTGCCTGTTATAGCAATTGCAGTGCATTGTACTAGATGCTGTATGATTTCTTTAATTGCATTGTTATTGCTTCTTTTATTTTGTATTACAATTTGAGTTCCATAGAATATAAGACATAAAAGCAATAAAATACAATTAAATATGTCTAATGCAATGGATATGGGATCTTCCATCTTCATCCATAGACATGTGCTGGACCAACTGAATGAAACTCATGGACCACTGGTAGTATATAGACCAGTTTGGGAACTCCTGATGCAGAGAGTTTCACAAGGATTTCTTCTGCTTGTGGTCCTATCTGTATCCTGGCCCCAGTTGCTTCAATGTCAGTAGCAAGTATGGCAACTGTAAGATCTTTTGCATACTTGAGAACAATTTTTTAATTTGATATGCCAAATCAAGTATTTCTTAACTGGGTTTTTAAATGAAAAGTAGCGCCGTATGTATGCGAAGTAGGACTTTCCTTATCTATATGGAGTTTGCAATGTATAACATTTCTTGCATTAGAAAAGTATATTGTATAAAAGCTCTCTTATCTGAAATACATTAAAGCAACAATCAAAATTAAAATGCTGCAAAGGAAAGAAAAAGTAATGGCTAACCAAAACGTCATGTAGTTGATGATAGTCAGTCCAGCATATCAGATTGTTGGCTCTTCGTATGAAATCTTTGATGCGCTATTAAGCTAACTACAGGAGATGCAGTGACAAGAGAAAAAGTCTCAATGTGGTGTCCACACTGCTCGACGTGACTTTGTCATGCGGTCCATTGTCACACATAGGATTTGGCTTTCAGAATGGGTTGGGAAGTCGTGGGAAAATGCACTTTTCCAGTGTTGACTCGCCTGACACTGGGAACGCTACTCTCAATATTTTTCTGGGGGTGCACGGTGTATGAAAAGGCCCTGACTAGTATTCTTAAGCAGAATATTTTGAGGTATCTATTAGAAAGGAATGCTGGCAATGTTTTGGACTCCCAAATTCTGTCTAGCCGAACAGTGTGCAGATTTCAGCGGGTTCCGTTCCGTCCATGAGCTTCCTTTACCCCCACCTGGGAAAACAGACAAGTTCAAGAGCCCCCCTTGCAGTCCTCTTGAAACTCAAGTCCCTCTTGCATAGGCCAGTAATAAGAACACTGCAGCTCAGACAAATAAATGACAGCAATATAACAAGTTTCTTAATCCCCCCTTTTTTAAAACATACTTTATCATTTACACAAAGTGTGGCGGCTGGATTTTAGCTTAAGATGCAACCCGAATGTGTGTCCTCTCAGTCTTCGACTCCGAGTGGAAGGCACGACTACAGCAATACTGCTTGTATGTACCGTACGTGGGTTTGAAAGCACAGCAAGAGACCTCATCTCCTGGGCTGAATATCAAAGAGCCTGCGGAGTCTTTGGAAATAATAATTACAGTTCTTGTTATGGCAGTGGATATTAGGAAAGTTTCCCTTCGCTGTTTGTTTCTTTCTTTTTTTTTGTGCTATGGAATTTCCTGTGAAAGGTCCTTCGAGTCCAAAAAGTGTGGAGCTCAAGCCCTCAGAAGCTCTCCACAAAGCTCCCAGGAAAGAGGCCTGACCTGCCGTTTCTCTGCAAAGTCCCTTTGTACCAGCCGTCCTCCCTTTTCTTGTGGACAAACACGATGTCGCCTTCTTTCAGCTCGATCTCGGCTTCGCTTTGTGGCGGATAGGGGACCACAACACGATACCTTTAAGAGACAGAAGGGTAGACCTTATTGCAGAAGGTGGTTCATACGCTCTACTTCTACTCCCTGGAAGGGTCAGAGATCTACACCTGGAACCAGCAACCGCATAGGCTGGTTGGGAATGATGATGTGGAAAGTTCCCACGCCAGAAACTCTTACACAATGCATATATTTATGTCAGTTTTACCAATAGGACGTCAAAAGTCACTAGGCTGCAGAATGCTTCACCAGCCTCTGGGGTGGTAGCAGAAAAGGGACAGGGAGGCACGTCCCTTCGTCAGCAGCCTGCTGCATTTTACTTATTTAGCATTTACGTTTATTATTGCCCCATAACATAGCTATCTGGATGCAGCTCAGAGACCACCTTTGCTCCAGCAGCCTGCTTGGTTTCTTGCTCACAGGCTTGCATAGAATTCCTGGTCATCTGTAGCTGCCAGGCAAATACACAAGCTGATTTATTGAGAGAGTATCTCTGTACCTTGCTTTTCAGCTAAGAGGATATATTTAAAAAGTCACTGGGTTCTTTTGTCTATTATACTTGCATTTCGCTGTTCCTTTAGTGGAGTGGCTGCCAGGATCTGATCATGGATCAGATGCATGGCACTTCCCTAACAGTGTAACATCATCGGTTAAGCATAGGAGGGGTCACTATAACACTGTTGAGCATCATATTGTATCTGAAATGCCTGGAGAAAAGCTGTGTATTTTGACATGATTGCACAACTGTGTAGAATATAGCGCTCATGAGTCAGGATGTAAGGAGGCAGTTGTCTTGTATTTGTTGCAAGCAGCCCTGTTTCCGTTCTGCTGCAGTTCACCTTCTGCTGAAAATGTTATTTGTCATGCTGTCTGCTGTGGTGAAATTATGTAATTTGTGCCATTAATGATGCAAATTATATTGTTATTATTCCACCCCATTCATTTCATTGTGAAGGAAACTATGCAGATGGGGAACACACACACACACACACACACACACACACACACACACACAATTTGCAGATAACAACAGTGAATACCAGTTGTATTCACTGATTGATCTCTGTTCTGGACACAGGAAGAATAAGCAAACATTGCTGCTCCCATTTCCATTTTTGACAGAATTCTCCAACATCCCTGCTCATGAGCGATCCAAAATAAGCTGGTCATCTTTCCCCCTCACCAGTAAATCAGGCTGTCACTTCCTCCGGGTGTGCCAATGCAAGTAATAGGGTTTGAAATGTGGACTACTGGCTAGCTATGGAGAAAGTCTATCATACTGCCATGGGCAGATCTGCTACACTTTGCGAAGCACTGCCAATCTCAGCCATTATGCAAATGAATGTTCACATTATTTTAGACATGCTGCTTCAGTGCTGACTAATTACATTATTCAATTAGAGTAATTTTAGCTAAAATGATCCCAGGTTTCAAATCTTGCAACTGTGTATGGATGTGCATAATGGAATACGCAAAATAGGGCAGAGTTTATTGGACCCCATCTTCCTGGTGAATGGAAATGCAACATTTTATTTTACTTCGAACTGTTCAAATTTAGGTGCATCGTAGTGGCAGAAGCATTCCGCATCTGCTCAGACTGTCCAATTGCAATTCAAAGCAGAGGTGGAAAACTGGAGCTCATAACACAATAAATTGGTGTCTCCCCCACCCCAATTTACAAATGGCAAAACTCTAAAGGGCTACATAGTAGCTAAAGGGATACTATGTGTACATAGTGGCACTGTGGGTTAAACCACAGAGCCTAAGACTTGCCGATCAGAAGGTCGGCGGTTAGAATCCCTGCAATGGGGTGTGCTCCCATTGCTCGGTCCCTGCTCCTGCCAACCTAGCAGTTCAAAAGCACATCAAAGTGCAAGTAGATAAATAGGTACCGCTCCGGCGGGAAGGTAAACGGCGTTTCCGTGCACTGCTCTGGTTCGCCAGAAGTGGCTTAGTTATGCTGGCCACATGACCCGGAAGCTGTAGACCGGCTCCCTCAGCCAATAAAGCGAGATGAGCGCCACAACCCCAGAGTCAGTCACGACTGGACCTAATGGTCAGGGGTCCCCTTTACCTTTACCTTATGTGTACATAGGCACATAGGGATTTGCTATCTGCCAAAACGTTTTCACGTATTTGAATTTTTTTGCAAAATATAACACGAATGGTGGGTCTTGGGTCTCCTGCTCCATTGATCAGCCAGACCAGGCAAATTCAGCGTTATAAGGACCAGGAATATTAAGCAAATAACAGCACTTCCTAGGCATTTTTTGACAGCTCTCGCAGAGATGAAACTGGATTATCTCAGTTGTGCTGATTACAGCGGTTATATGTTTAGGCAAACAGCACTGGAAGGAAGCGGGTGTTAAGAAAATAGAATTGGAATAAATGCAGGCTAGAATGTGCTACAGTGAAGGAAAATCCGAGCCATTCCCTCCCAGGGCTTCATTATCTGATTAGTTTCATACACAATACCTTACAAAATGCACAGTCGGCTCTGAATTCCACTCCAGGCTGCAAACAATTAATCAGTGTGATTAATTCCTCTACCTTTTATTGCAATTAAAATTTAGCCCATTAATAGGTAGGAATGACAACAAGCAACGACCCCCAAGGCTTGGGAAGCCCCACAAAAAGCACTGCAGTAATTAAGAATTGTTTTCCTTCTTGCAATAAGTGTTAGGTAGCTTCTTGCAATGGGAGTGCAATGGCCCTCCAGCTGTTTTGGGACTACAGTTCCCATCATCCCTGACCACTGGTCCTGTTAGCTAGGGATGATGGGAGTTGTAGTCCCAAAACATCTGGAGGGCCGAGTTTGCCTATGCCTGAGCTAGGTAGTGGGGGGTACTCAGATGGAGGGGCACAAAATGCGGGGCTCAGGGTACAAAACAAGTAAAAAAAATTAGCATCAGTTTGGAGGGCATTCCAATTTTGAGGGTTCACATTTAATAAAGCTGTGCCTGCTGTGTTTTATTGCCTAACTCTCCCGTATTTTATATATTTGTGGTTGTCAAGCCACAAGTGCTGCATAAAATATGAATCTGTTCATCTGAACCCACCCATGCACTTTACTTCATCTATAGAACTGAACAAATTATGTATACAGTAAAATACAAACAAGCAAACATGTTGAGTGCGGAGATGAAAAAGTCACTATGTTGCCAGATGTGAAATGCAGCTTCACACATGTATTTTATTTTATTTTTTAAAAATTGTACTACTGAGCACTTGGGTGACTTAATGAGCACAAATGGATGTGGAATGAACTTCCAGACAAGAGTTTAATGTAGCTGCTCCAATGATCCAGGGCTAGGCATTATCCTTCCTAGTGTGCAAAGGTAATTAATATTCCTCATTTATAGGCATAAAGAACCATATGATCAGTTAAGGGGTGCAGATAAACCAGTGATATGGAAGTTAATTCATAAATCAATTAGAAAACCTTGCCTGCTGAGTATAATTAAGCTTATTTCAATTAGAGGTTATTCTCGGATTTAAGACTCGGGGAATCAAAAGGCCTGAAAATCAGGATCTGAATTCTCAGCTACTACAAAGTGCAATTAGCACTATCTGTAATGTTTTAAGAGGCCCATCTGTATAACTCCATTTGCAGCTTATTGTGCAAACAATGGGAACACAGGCTGGCCACCTGGCTCTGTGCATTTTCCATTCCACAGCTTCACAATCCTGCCCTTCCTTAACTTCCATTCTTGGGGCTAAGAATGTAGCAGTATTTTTATCATGCCTGGTTAGAAGAAAAAAATGTAAATTAATAGTAAGGCTAATTTTTTCTGGGTTTTGGTGGAAATACAACCGTTGGCGTCATGGAGCAGGCTTCAGTGCTTCCAAGTCTGGGAATGTTCCTACTGACTTGTCCTACCAGTAGCCAAATAAAGCAGTCTTGCTACTAAATCTGCTAGCCCTCATGCCCAGATATTCTGATGTGAATTATGACACACAGAGAGAACCAATTTTTTTGTAATGTGGAAACAATTCTTATTTCCCACATATACTTGGTTATTCAGAAGTCTGCTATAGGGTGGGTTTTTTTTTTTCATTATCTCTGGGGGTTAAAAACGGAGTCTTTGCACTTAATAATGTGCATGCTTTTAAAAAATGCTAATAGCAGCCCTGGGAGTGGCTGATTAGAATCACAGCAGGCAGGGAGTTAATGAAGTTATTGAATTTATTAATTGCTTCCCGTAATAGAATGTCCCAATGTGGTGTACAAGTATAAATACAGTGATGCAATAAAAATATAGGTAAAGATAAAGGGACCCCTGACCATTAGGTCCAGTCGTGGCGGACTCTGGGGTTGTGGCACTCATCTCACTTTATTGGACGAGGGAGCCGGAGTACAGCTTCCGGGTCATGTGGCCAGCAGGACTAAGCCGCTTCTGGTGAACCAGAGCAGCGCACAGAAACACCATTTACCTTCCTGCCGGAGCGGTACCTATTTATCTACTTGCACTTTGTGCTTTCGAAGTGCTAGGTTGGCAGGAGCAGGGACCGAGCAATGGGAGCTCACCCCGTCCCGGGGATTTGAACCGCCGACCTTCTGATCGGCAAGCCGTAGGCTCTGTGGTTTAGACCACAGCACCACCCATGTCCCTAATAAAATTATACAAACATATTAAAAGGAAGGGGCTGTGCCCCTGCTCTCTTCCCTTGCTGACTCTGCCTGCACCCAACCCATCCCTCACCAAAGTCACCCCTCCTCCTGATCTCACCAAAACCAACCTTCCCCTCTCTCCTTAGAACCTCTAGAGTTTGCCTGGGCTGCCGACTTGCTTGCTTAGGATGCTCAGTTGTCTGGTATGCCCACTCACAAACTTGCTGGCCGGGACTGCCTGCCTGCCTTTCCATCTCCATCCTCTCTGGCCTCCAATGCTGCTGCAAGAGTCTAGCAGCTCCGACAGCCCAGTTTGCTGTCATGCTGCAGTTTGAAACGCCACCTGTCAGCAGTCATGTGAACTGCAGCATGACGACATTATTCCATTTTTATTTTATATATGAGAACATAATCAAAGTTGGGGAGAAATCCAGTCATTGGTGCTGCTCTAATGTGCTGGAAAACAAAAATATATCTTTGCCTGGCCCCAAAACAATGATGAAGTTGGTGCCAGGTAGCTCTCAATGGGGAGAGCATTCCATTAGGGGTTTTTAAGCAGAGGCTGGATGGCCAACTCAGGGATGCCGTTGCAGCAGGTGTCCTGTGTTGGAAGGTGGTTTGGGCTAGATCTAGTTAGCTGATCTTCCCAGTTCTTAGGAACCTTGCAATGAAATGAAAATGTTTCTGTACAAAATACTCTGCCTAGGATGGCAGCTAACCCAAAATACAAGTGAACACGCTTAATTGGATGACATACCTTTCTCGAGACAATGGCTTAGGTTCTGGGCGGATGGCTGCCATTGAAGGCGGAAGCTGCCTTATGGGAGAAGGAGTAGGGAAATTCAAATCCAAAGAGCCTGTCTTTCTGTGCAGAGGCTCCATCTCCATTGCTCCTTGCATTTCACTTTCAATTGGGCATGAGCCTGCCCTCCCGTGGCTAGAGAGAGAGGATAGTTCAGGTCCCATAGCCCCCTGCAGCATCCCTTCCATCACTGCCAGAGGGTCATGTGTTGGGGACATTGACGGAGGAGAGCGGGATTTCTTTTTTGTGGATGCTCCTGCCAGAAGCTTCAGCAGACCACTTTTCTTTTCTTTCTGCATAGGAATCAAACAGAAGATTACAAGTGAGATGTTTCAATTACAGCTTTTTAGATGAATGCCAGCCATTTTGTACGCACAGGGAAGTGAGCGTTGTTTACAACTTATCTTTACCAAGAGAAGTTTTGTGTTGTAAAAGGTGAGGCACAGTGGAAGTTATATTGAACTTCTATTGTGACAAACATGATTGACTCATCCCGAAAGGGAAAAGTCAGCCTCTAAACAGCTGGAATTTGAAAAGGCAGTGTTATTTGATTCTACCCCTGGAGGAAACAGAGCAGTGTTTTGTCATTTCACGCTGGCAAATAAATTCTCGAGGACCTCAGTATGACAATAAATTGCTTCTTTCCTTTTGGCTGATTTGATTAAATCCCAGTGTTGGAGACCTTTGTGTTATCAGGACAAGAAATCAACATGGGCTGCACACATGGCTTACATTTAAAGCATGTGACTTTCACCAAAGAGTTCTGGGAACTGCGGTTTGTTAAAGGTGCCAGACTTGATGCTCTCTGAGGAATGACCCGCAGTTCACACGATTCTTTGGAGGATGTCATGTTCTTTAATGTATGTTGTGCACATAGCCATGTTCTTATAAGGCATAATGCTCTCTCATCAGATTCTCTAAGCTGCAGCTAGCCTGAATTTTACACAGATGTTTATTTCATGTCTTCTCGCCCTTCCTCCAAGAGTTCAGGGTGTGCATATTCCACTCCCCTCTGTTTTATCTTCAAATCAAGCATATGAGGTCCTTCAGGTGTACCCGTGCCCTTAGGTAAGATGTCAGGGTCATGAGGACGCCTCTGCCCTATCCCATCTGCTGCTACTTTCCCAAACCTTTCAGTCGGGGCAGCCATTCAGTCTCTGATTGGGCTTTCTTTCAATTGCCATCATTAGAACCAGTGGCACCAGCTGCCACTTGCGGTTTTGCAACTAAAGCTTTTCTGCAGGATCAATATTTCTGCAAGCGGAATGTTGCTGCATGTGCAAAGTCATTAGGCACTGAGTGGGTTAATGATATAAATAGATAAATGAATGAAACTTTCGCTGGGGAGGAGGGGGAAATACAGCAGCATCTTAATACTCCGACAAAAGCAGCTGCCACGTAACTGAACAGAGTTTTTTGGGGGGTAAATGGTAAATTGCTCCCTTGGGGTTCGGTGCACAACAGTGTTTAGAAAAAGAATACTGCTGAAGAAAGTTCCTGTTTTGTACAATGCTTGTAATACCATTTTTTGATGTGCATGTCTAAATCCATGCACTTGGATGATGACAGAAAAACGGTAACACAGAGCTGAGCTTTATTCTTTCATTAATCGGGCTTAGGTTTTAAAGCAAATTTTACAGGTATAAGTGAAGGAAAACTAAGGTATCTTATTAGTACATACAGGTAATGCCCATTCCTCCCATCCTAATTCAGATTACCATTTAAATCAACTCCAAAAAGGGGAAAGAAAGGTGAAAAAGAGAGAGAGGTGAGGCAGGTAAGGGCAATTCTGGGGACTGAGGAAGAGAAGTGATGGGAAGAAACATAGGAGACCATCAAGCTTAGCGTTGTCTGCATCAGTGTTCTTCAGCCTTGGGACTTCAGACACTGTTGTACTACAACACCCATCATCTCTGACAATTGGCTAAGCTGGCTGTAGATAATGGGAGTTGTAGTCCCACAGCATCTGGGGGTCCCTTAGAGCCTGATATGCAATGGTGCAATGCCGTGCTGCTGGCTGCTGACAAAATATCCCCTCTCCCAGGACAAACACCATTAATCGAGGCCAAGAAAGCACCTGGCTTTGCTGAAGTGTTCTGGAAATGTTGCAATAGGTGTGCAAGCTGATCCACAGTTCCCAGCTAGAATCTGAAGTACCATGTTTTGACCAGTCAGGGGACCACCATATCTACAAGCTCTTACCACTGGGTGATTTTGAACTTCTCCAGGGGTCAAAATATCCTTACAAATATGCTCCCACATGCCATGGAGCGCTTCCAGATTACTATTTTTGGGCGGGATAAATGCAGAACCTTGCAAATTCAGGCTGTGCAGTGTCAGATAATTTGGAGCTCTTGTGAAACAAATCCGTTGAACCAAAATATTGGACTTTTGGTGATGGGGGGGAATGCACTAGAAACTGTGGGATAACATTGGCTTGATTTAGTACCCTCTAATAACCGCACAGACAAATCAGGATGAATGCTCATGAAATGTTCGATGCTATCTAATCTCTCCGCAAGCAAGTCAGGATGAATGCCCATTAAACAGGTTGCCTGGAAGTGACCCAAGTTTATATTAGGAACAAGGATAAAGAACCTACTCTTTCAATTATTATCACCTCTAGGGCATGTTCTCAATGCATGCTTACTACAGAACAAGGGTCAGCAGGGGGCCGGTCCATTGTCCCTCAGACCTTGTGGGGGGTCGGAATATATATTTTTTTGGGGGAAATGAATGAACAAATTCCTATGCCCCATAAATAACCCAGAGATGCAGTTTAAATAAAAGGACACATTCTACTCTTGTAAAAACATGCTGATTCCCGGACCGTCTGTGGGCTGGATTTAGAAGGCAATTGGGCCGGATCTGGCCCCCGGGCCTTAGTTTGCCTAACCATGCTATAGAAGAATAACAAGGGAGCATTTCCCCCTTTCATAAATGATTTTGCGACGCCATCTTGAGAAAATGGTGTGGCCCATGTACCCCCACTTTCTAAATGCCATTAGAACATTTGCGCTAAAAAAAAAAAGGCATTGCAGAAGTTGTGAAGATGTTGAAAGAGATTTTTTAAACAGAAAGATGATGCAGATCAATTTAGTGTGATAAGGCTTCCAGCCTTTTAAGAACACACCCCTACGGATAGCTTTCATCCCACGCATGGTTTTCAAGCAGGCACAAGGACGTGTTTTCAAAAGAGTTCGCGCAACCATGTAATCAATTTTTACATTAATTAGGAAGTCTGTGTGAAACACTGCTGCCGTTTTTAAAGGCTGGGTGTGATATATTCAACGCTGAAGACATTCTGAGGTGTGCCAGGCTAACTTGAAATTTCTTGAGAAACTTTAAAAGGCAGTCAAGGAAACAGGAAAAGAAAGAATGTGTTTTAAGCAAGCAGGAAAAGGCTATCACAAGTGGGTTCAACCCTGCTTCAATAAATAAGGTTTTCTAGCTAACTTGTATGAAATGAACACTAAATTAGAATATTGACTAGTATTCTCAATTTCTCACATTTTCTTTATGGAGGAAAAGAGCCGCTGGGATTTAAACACCCACACACACAAAGGAATTTTTTTGCTAATGTGCTGAATATTCTGGAAATCTAATGAAATATTCAATGACGAAATGCAGCTTGCAGCTTGATAATACTTTTATTTTACACTTACATTAGCTCAACTTCCTGGCTTTTACCAGAGGCAGATTTTCTTTTTTAAAAACAAAACAGATAAACCCACGCAGCTTTACATTCTTTCATCTCCTTAAGTGACAGAAACTTGATATGTGCAATTCTAAAGTAAAAAAGAAACACCTGAGATCTAGATTTTTGTAGGTGGTCTTCATTTTATTTTTTAAAAAACTCGCTTGGCTAATGCAATAGCAGCAAGCATTTTCTCCCCCTCAAGCTCCTCACATAACCAACTCTCACAAATTCACAAAGCTTCAGGCTACACTCTTCTTGGGTAGTCAGCACCAAAATTCCCTTTAACTATCACCCTCAACTATATTATGGTGAGCATGAAGTGTGTCTGGCTTTGCTGAAAAAGTAAACGAAACAAGGTTTTCTGAGTTACTCCAGAGAGATTTATAAGTAAGCTAACTGCTGGAAGATCACTGAAAAGCCAGACAATTTGTCACTACTGCCACCATTTTTCAAACCAGTATGTAACAGAAATATTTGCACAACAGTTGCACAACAAAAGCAGGCTCTGTCCACTTGAGAGGACGCTTCAGTCAATCCTGGCTCTCAGATGAAAATACGCATCTTTTTAAGCCCATTTGTCACATTGCTTTTCAGTGCAATGTGTGAATGTAATCAGGAGTAAACCGAGAACTGTGAGCTCTACCACAATTTCTACTTACAGTTTTCGAATTAATGCATCTTGCCAGATCTGCTAGCTGTCTTCTTCAGCGAGGGAGAATAAAGGAGGGTGAGAAGGGATTAGCACAAGGCACGATCTGCCTCTCCAAATTTGTCTTTTCTCATAGAGCTCTGATTCATTTGGGAAACTGAGGCCTTCTCCAGCCCAGTCCCTGTTTCTTGACAGGAATACAACAACATGACTACCTTTGAATGTGACTTGGAAACTATAATAAACCCAGAACACAGCTGCTAAACTGGTGACTGGGAGTGGCTGCCAGGACCACAGAACATTGGCCCTAAAATATCTACATTGGCTCCCAGTATATTTCTGAGCACAATTCCAAGTGTTTGTGCTGACCTTTAAAGCCTTTGGCCCTGTGTACCTGAAGGAGCGTCTCTGCCCCCATTGTTCAGCCCAGGCACTGAATTCCAGCTCCAAGGGCCTTCTGGCAGTCCCCTCACTGTGAGAAGTGAAATTACAGGGAACCAGACAGAAGGCATTTTCGGCGGTCGCCTTGCGGAATGCCCTCCTGGCAGATGTCAAAGAGTTAAACAACTATATAATTTTTTGTAGACATCTAAGGGCAGCTCTTGTTCGGGGAAGCTTTTAATGTTTGATGCTGTATTTGTGTTGGAGGCCGCCCAGAGTGGCTGAGGCAATCCAATCAGATGGGCGGGGTATAAGAAATCAATTATTATTATTATTATGGGGCTCTCATTTTGATATCAAGGTGCTGAGTGGTGTGGCAAATGGCCTGGGGCCTAAATGCTTGATGGGAGCTCCTCTCTCTCAGTCTGCACAGGCCCTATAATCTGCAGAAGACTCATTACGTGGTGGCTTGGGACAGGGTCTTCTTTGTGGTAGTTGCAGAGTTGTTATGAGGATAAAATGGAAAGTGGGGAACCATGTAGGCCACCTTGAGTCTCCTGGAGGAAAGGGGAGCTATAAATGTAATAATAAATTAAAAAGAGAAAAATGATGTTTGTCTTACAAGCAAGGCCAACAGGCTTGATAAAATAATTAAAACATGTTGTACATAATTTCAGGGACCAGCACTCCTTGCTCTAACCCAGGAGGAAGGCTGTGATCTATGTTCATCACTGATCTAGACTACATTTCTGCACTGATGATGATGTTGATGTTGATGCAGTGTCTACTGGTAAGTATCCAGTTCTTTGATTAGATATTTGAACACATTTTGGAGAATGTTTGGCTAAGTTGTAAAATGAAGTTGCATTCACCTTTGAAAAAGCTAATGTGATCATTGCATATATACATCTGTTTTGATACGTGTGCTAGGAAGCAGCAGCAAGAGAGCACATCTTTTGGCTCGTGTGTACAACGGCCACAACGTAAGGTTAATTTAAGTTCACTGAAATCAATAGGCTTAGCCCCTAGTTACTGTTGTTGCAGTGATATCCCATCTTTCCTGCAAGGGGCTTAAAGTGGCATACATCATCACAGCGACCCTGTGAGGGTTAGGCTAAGAGACAACCAATGAGCTTTGTGGCTAATGGGGATTTGAACCCAACACACTATAACCACTGTACCAGACTGGCTCACATCGATTTAAGCTTGTCCACACAGAATGTGGTCCAAATGAACACGCAGTGAAATAGATGTGCGTATGTAATTGTTACACAGAACGATCTATATTCAGATCACATGCTTCTTCCGACCTAGAAGTGCTTTCTACGTAGGAATTGTGTAACATGCCAATTGGCCTTAAACAACAGCAAACTCAACCCCCAAATATTTTTGCTTCACACTTTTTAAGCTTTGTTTTTTGAATGTGCTGGACTACTTTGGGTGGAAACTGGGAAAATTTCAGTGTGATCACTTAGGAGGAACCTTCTGAACATTTACTTTCTGAGAGTTGCTTGGCAGTTGATTCAAAGTGGCGTGTGGATGCCCAGTATTTAAAAACACCGCTGAACAACGTAAATGTTTAAGAGAAGTCCTTTTTTGAACAACGCCATATTGCGTTTCTAAAAGAGCTGAAACCAACAAAGGGGAGAAATCTGCTTTGTTATAGAATCTGAAGCAAACTATGCTTTGACAGCTGGGGTTAATGCGTTTGGCTGGGTTAATTGCCAGCCTGAGAAATATTCATTAGCTGAGTGCCAGCTTTCTGTCCTTATGCTCTGATGCAGAGTAAGGAAAGGGTGGGGAAGATGCTAGCTAGATACTCTAAGATAAGTGTTTTATTATCAGATACCTCCATGACTATGGAACAAAAGAGACAGCTCTGTGCACAACCCAAATGAGAGTATTGGCGTTAAGGTCAAGTGTTTCAAACTATATGGATTGTTGAAGCATTATTAGAGTTCAAGGACTGATTCCAGCTTGGCAAAAATAAGGTGCAAAACAAGGTAGGTGATGGATGTGGGCCTGGGGGGGACTCTTAAGGATCAGTTATAGAGGCCTGGAGGGGCTGCATGTGGCGGTTCCTTATTCTTATCTAGTGGGCTTCTCTCTGTCCCACTTTGGCAAGGTTTTCATCTTGTTCCCTATAAAAATGCACCTCGGAGGAGTTTGAATGAACCTTCAGTGCGTACCCAACCAGTCCTCAACTTTCGCCAGTTCTTGGCCCTGCCTTGTCTGCACCATAGGCTAAAGTACACCCAATGTGGTGCAGACCAGAAAATATGTCTGGCAGTAATCAGCGGTATGCAGTACCGGGACTTTACTCCCACTCCCCCAATGTTGGAGATGGTCCAACCTGTTCTGCAGGCGACTTATGCCAACCCACACACTTGCTTAACACACCAAACATGACTTTCCCTATCATCTATCTATCTATCTATGAGTTATATTCAGTGCGGTAGATTGCACCCACAACAGCATACAATATTAAAAGCTGACTTAAAACAATCATTACTAAAACATGGTGCAAAAACAGATCAAACAAACAAACAACAACAACAACAACTTTATTATTTATATCCCGCCCATCTGGCTGAGTTTCCCCATGTTAAATCCAAGCAAAATCAGCCCATAGCAAATACCCTGAAGAAAACCATCAGGGAGGCAACCAGGAACTTCACCCCTAGGAAGTGCATTCCTCAGTGTGAGTGACACCAAAAAGGAAGCCTGGCTCTGTGCCCTAACTGGAGGGGAAGGTGGGATGAAGAGAACAGCTTCCCACACAGATCATGGAAGTTCATACAGGACAATTTGTTCCCTAAAGTTTGACCAGGGGCAGCCAAGTCCACATATTGCAGACTACAAGTCCCATAACACCTGGTCATTGCCCTTGCTGCCTGAGGAAGGTGGGATTTGTAGTCCAGACATCTAGAGGGCACATTGTTATCTATCCTGATTTAAGAGTGTTTAAGACTTCATACAATGTTCACCTCCCCATATTTATTTTAAAGGGGTACTTTCAGGAAGCCTTGGCAGTCTTTTCAACAAAGGCTGAAGCAGAAGAACATAATCAGATTTTATTTTATTTTTGTATAGTGGGGTGCAATCAAACATGGCTTGATGTTGCGAACAGGTTTTCTTTTACTTATCAGATTTCCCCCAGAAGCTGTAAATCTGGAGTCAATGAGGAACTTGCATGCATGAGAAGCATTGGTCAACAACTCTCTGCAAGTATCCTTGGGAACCAAAGAGCAAATACAAGAAAGAGAGAGGATTTCCCAGACACCTGCCAGGCTTCTGACAGACTGCATGATCATTTCAGAGCCGAGATGGAGTGGGGCGAGGCTGTGGATCATGTGTGCTGGAGACAACATCCTATGTGTTCGGAAAGGAAATCGAACTTTAGCAGCATGTGAGTTATACTTGAGCCTTTATCACTGCAATTCAAAACTTGGCAGCGTTGCATTTCTATAGTTAGAACAAATTAGAAATGAGAAGAGCCAGTGAGTGCAGCTGCATACTGTTTTGTTATGCTTATTTTAAAATCTTCTGGATTTAAAATCCATATGTGACTTCCTACAAGTACTAGTTCCAAAAAAGGGAAGAATTTTAATCAATGTGCTATCCAGCTTGAAACAATTCAAGGTTGTGCATCTATGTGCTCATTTTTGTTTTAACCCCTACCAATGTTTACTGACTGACAGCTCAATAGGAAGTTTGCAGTGTACTACTGAAAGTACTTGTAGTATGCTTAAAGGTAAAGAACCCTGACCATTAGGTTGTGTTGCGGCGCTCATCTTGCTTTACTGGCTCATCTCGCTTTACTGGCTTCCAGGTCATGTGGCCAGCATGACTAAGCTGCTTCTGGCAAACCAGAGCAGCGCACGGAAACGCCGTTTACCTTCCCGCCAGAGCGGTACCTATTTATCTACTTGCACTTTGATATGCTTTCAAACTGCTAGGTTGACAGGAGCTGGGACCGAGCAACGGGAGCTCACCCCATCGCAGGGATTCGAACCGCCGACCTTCTGATCGGCAAGTCCTAGGCTCTGTGGTTTAACCCACAGCGCCACCCGCATCCCTTGTAGTATGCTTACAATTCACAATTAATGTGCTTTTCTGTTTAAGATGCTGTATGGGAGTGGGAATTTGAACATACTCTAATCACGTTACATAAAAGAGTTGGCCATTGCCAAATATTTCAGAAATAGAAATTCCTCCCTCCCTAGCAGTTATGTAGAGATAAAAGCACTTTCCTTCTTTTTGAACAAGCTTAGACAAGAGATAGTTGAAATACAGATGTTAACACTTAGTCAACTGTGTCTTCAGAATGATTTGTTCTTCTAATGCACAGACTATGGGTTACTCAATGAGCACAGAAGTCTCTTGATTGAGTGAGCAATTTGGACGACTTTAAAAAAAATGTTTTGTGATGAAAGAAATAGTTCAAAATAATTCACATTTTGCTTTGGCAGAAAGGTTCAAGACAAGTGTCTAATCAGATTGTATGTTTCCACTGATTTCATTCTAGCGAATGAAAACAATGCAAAACTGGTTGAGCATACTACTGCTTATTATCAAATAACTTTCTATAGACAACCCTGTTACAGCTTTGAGCATTCAGTAAGGAATACTCAGATAGCTGACAACATTCCATTTCATACTGGAATAGGACAGCTAAATTTAAATGTATGGCAGCAGGCACTGCCCATGATTCTTATGCTCTCCAGGGATGCAGTTTATTTTCTGTATGTTTTTTTTTTAAGCCTTGTAAATTAAGTCCAGAAAAATGACTAGACCACAAGTTGGTTGGTTCTTTTACCAGCTTGCAAATAAGCTAGTAGCCTATGTTTCCATGCTTCCTTCAGCAGAGGGGAAGCTTCCTCCTCCAGAGCCAGCATAGAAATGAAGGATGCTCGCATTTTAGCAGTCCTGCCCCCACTCTCTGTAATTGTCTTCTATCTAGTAGGCTGGAGAAGTGGAGCAGAACTGAGGGAACTGGCTTCTGTTCCTCTGCAGCCAGTGCAGAGAGAAAGCGGGGGGTCAGAGGGGGAATGGAGAGATCCATCTATCCTCTATCAGCCCACTCACTTGGCTGCATGGTTGCTCTATGGGTGAAACTGCATGTTTAAGTTTCTTTCCATTTCTCAGTTTTCCACATCAGTTTGTTACCTTTTTTTAAAAAATCATCATCAGAATTTTAGTGTGGATTTCTCCAAATATAGACATCTTTAACATACAGCATTTCCCCCCTAAAATAATGCAGTTTTGAATATTTTCATCAACATATGTACTCTCTTGTTCACATTTCACCCTTGTAAAAATGCAGGTTTGTATACTACTTCACAGTATAGTTGCATTACAAAATTCAGAGAAGTGTGCATTTTAAAGGCTAGCTGCTTTTTGGTTCACAGATTTTTTCAGGAAGTGCAAATTAAGTAAGTTCAAATGGAATTAAGTAAATGCAAACTGAACTGAATTCCCTCTTGATCCCTACCTATGACTACCAGGCTAAAAGTTAAAGCCTTACATGGCTCAGGAACTCAATACCTTAAGGACCGCCTCTCCCCATATGTACTGACCCAGACCCTGTGCTTTTCACTCAAGGCCTTTATGTCCTGCCTCCCCAATAACTTTATTTTATAGCTATACAAATGAATAAATATTGTATGGGTGGTGAAAGTTGAACTCCCTCCCCGAATCCTGGGGAAAACAACAACCAGTGCACCCATTCTCAAATTTTAAAACACGCTCGTCATCCATACCTTGTTTTCCATACACTGGGCAAGATGCATTATTACTGGTATTTAATATGACCCACCGGAGTAGGGAGATCTTCCCTTCAGCAACTGAACATGTCACATGCATTGCAGATCATTTTTAGGGGCTTACACAATATAAGCCCCTGTACTTCTCCCAGTGGGTGGCGCTGTGGGTTAAACCACACAGCCTAGGACTTGCTGATCAGAAGGTCGGCGGATCGAATCCCTGCGATGGGGTGAGCTCCCGTTGCTCGGTCCCTGCTCCTGCCAACCTAGCAGTTCGAAAGCACGTCAAAGTGCAAGTAGATAAATAGGTACCGCTCCAGCAGGAAGGTAAATGGCGTTTCCGTGTGCTGCTCTGGTTTGCCAGGAGCGGCTTAATCATGCTGGCCACATGACCCAGAAGCTGTACGCCAGCTCCCTCAGCCAGTAAAGCGAGATGAGCGCCGCAACCCCAGAGTTGGTCATGACTGGACCTAATGGTCAGGGGTCCCTTTACCTTTACTTGCTTCTCCTAGTTAGTAACAAGGAGGGTCACTAGAGAAGTTGTGACCCAGGCCGAGAGACAGAAAAACTTGCATCAGAAGAGGGACTGAGAGCCAGACACAGTCTCAGCCTCACATGGATCAATACATCTTTAAGCCCATATGGTAATTTAGCTCTACGTTAAGCTTTTTGGACAGATTTCACTGCTAACGTAGAACAAATGATAGTTTCAGATAGTTGGTTTTCAAATAGTTTGGGATACATTCCAGGCATCAAAAAGCAATAAAGATGCACTGCGGCTGATGATAAATTAACGAACTGTTCCCAGAAGCAACAACTTATCTTTCATTTTAGGAGGAGCCACTGTGCCGGATGTTTTCGAGAAGTTTAATCAAAATTCTCATCAGAAACCAAATGAGGGGGTTCTTCAGAAAGAACAACCACCCAGTGTGATTTACTTCATCAGATTAAGCGACTGAGGCCACATCACTTCATTCATGTAAGTAGTTTTATATGAGATGGCAAAAAGTAGCCACATTATTTACAAGGGAAAGTGGCATAAGAGTAATCAACTCATAAGAAATCATTGGGTATTTTGTAATTACCTTATCAGGCAATATTTAAGCTAGCTGGAAGAGGAAATTCTATCCAGAGACTTTTAACAAATAAACTCAATCTGAACCAACTTGTATTATATGTCGTGGGCTGCAGTTCCATAGACATACAATACTAAACTCTGCTAAAGCAAGCCTTTCCCAACTTGACACCTGCCAGATGTTTCAGACTGTAATTTGGATGGATGGAGGGTTAGTCCATTAACATCTGGAGGGCCACAGGTTTCTTACCGCAGGAGGTAGATAAGAAGAGCATTACTTGAAATCAAAGATTTGACAATAAACAAGAAGTTTCAAGAGGGAGCAATGGGACATGAAGAAACTGGGGAGAATATGGAGGAAACAATGGCAGAAAAGAATAAATACAGTGGTACCTCTGGTTGCAAATGGGATCTGTTCGGAGGCCTGTTTGCAACATGAAAAGAGCGCAACCCGTAGTGGCGCGTCTGCACACGCGCGGGTTGCGATTCGCCACTTCTGCGTATGGCGTCATTTTGCACGTCTGCACATGCGCGAGCGGCGAAACACGGAAGTAACCTTTTCTGGTACTTCCGGGTCTCTGCGGGAGGTAACCTGAAAGAACGTAACATGAAGCGGACGTAACATGAGGTATGACTGTATAGGGATGGCTTAAGGTAAAGGTAAAGGGATCCCTGACCATTAGGTCCAGTCGTGACCGACTCTGGGGTTGCGGTGCTCATCTCGCTTTATTGGCCGAGGGAGCTGGCGTTTGTCCGCAAACAGCTTCCGGGTCATGTGGCCAGCATGACTAAGCTGCTTCTGGTGAACCAGAGCAGCACACAGAAACGCCGTTTACCTTGCCGCTGGAGCGGTACCTATTTATCTACTTGCACTTTGACTTTTGAACTGCTAGGTTGGCAGGAGCTGGGACTGAACAATGGAAGCTCACCCCGTCGCGGGGATTCGAACCGCCGACCTTCTGATCGGCAAGTCCTAGACTCTGTGGTTTAACCCACAGCGCCACCCGCGTCCCTTAGGGATGGCTTAGGAATGGATAAAAGCATGCAACAAGGGCATAGTTTTTAGAATGGAACTTGCACCCATCTCCCTCCCAGCACGGCCTTCCCCAACCTAGTGCCATCCAGATACTTTGGACTACAACTCCCAACATCACTACGGCTGGGGCTGATGGAAGTTGGAGTCCAGCATTATCGGGAGGGTCATAGTTTCCCCAGGCCATTTGCAACCCCTTTCTTCTGTCTTTGAGGGTATTCCTTTACTAGTTTAAAAAACCCAACCCACCTCTAGTTTGGCCAGGCCCAGTTTCCAATGGTGCCAAGTCTCGGAACTGGGAGGGTCAGAAAAAAAATCAGGAAAGCTGAGGCAATATACCAGTAGTGGGCAGGACAAGAGGCAAAAGTGGCTGGAGCAATGAATGTACATTTCACCAATGCTCACTCACACATCCCTCTCTATCCAGGGAAAGTGAGAGGCATTATCAGAGTTCAAGGACATATTCCACTGAGGCAAACACATTCAAGGAGGCTGCAAAACAGGGCAATCAGGTTTTGTACTAGAAGCTTGGAGGACCACATTTTACCCCGGGCCTCAGGTTCTTCACTCCTGGTATATGGCAAAGAATATTTGCTTAGTGCAACCCCTACTAAAGGTAAAAAAACAACACCGGATAGTGATAGTGAAGCCAAATCCTGTTCATAGGTATATGAGCATGAGGTCATATAATTCAAATGTGTACTAAGTCCACGTGAGCAGTGAAACTTTAGCCAACTTGGAGAAACTCTCCAGTTAAAATCAGGCTTTATTATGGTCAAGAGCTTTTAAAAACGAGTGAAAAGAAGAAAGTTATTTTTCTTTTCAAAGGCACAAAGTCTGATGTTTCAAATATCATGTTGTTGTGTTAGGTACCTAGGCTGTACTCTGCTACAAGCAAGGTAAATCGAAACTTTCTTCTGTTATAGATCTTTTGGGCTATCGTGCTATCACAGCTAATCTAAAAATGGAACAGATTTTTAGAAACGCATGGCAGAATTATATACCGTATTTTTCGCCCTATAGGACGCACTTTTTCCCTTCCAAAAATGAAGGGGAAATGTGTGTGCGTCCTATGGGGCGAATGCAGGCTTTCACTGAAGCCTGGAGAGCGAGAGCTCTCGCTCTCCAGGCTTCAGGAGAGCCCCAGCGCCAGCCCCACAAGGTCGGGGGACAGAGGGAGGCGGAACGCCGCCATCCCTGTCTCCCGAAGTGGTTTGGAGGCTGACGGCGGGGAGACCCCGCCGCCAGCCCCGCAAGCTCCGGGGACAGCTGGGAGACGCAGCGCGTCTTCTTGCTTTCCCCGGACCTGATCTGAAGGCGGGCGGCGGGGAGAAGAGCGCTTCTCCCCGCTGCCTGCCCCGCAAGCTCCGGGGACAGCTGGGAGGCACAGCGCGTCTCCCCCTGTCCCCGGACCTGATCTGAAGGCGGGCGGCAGGGAGAAGAGCGCTTCTCCCCGCTGCCTGCCCCGCAAGCTCCGGGGACAGCTGGGAGGCGCAGCGTGTCTTCCCGCTGTCCCTGGACCTGATCTGAAGGCGGGCGGCAGGGAGAAAAGCGCTTCTCCCCGCTGCCGGCCCCACAAGTGTCTGGGGGGGAAATAATTTTTTTTCTTTATTTCCCCCCCCAAAAAACTTGATGCGTCCTATGGGCCGGTGCGTCCTATGGGGCGAAAAATACGGTACATATATTGGTCTCATTGAATTAGCAGGATATCATTGCTGCGTCTCTTTAACTATTCAGCGTGATGTATCTGAACTGTGTTGCACATTAATTAAATTGAGAGGGGGAGCGGTGGGACAGATAGAAAGAGGTTTTATGCATATTCTGTGCCAGAATAAAGCACAGGATACCTCTACCCTTCAGTCTCAATCTAACGCCTTACAGATGCAAATTAAGGTTCCCAGTCAGCAACTAGTTTGCCTGGAGGCCACTTGGAGAAAAACACCTCTCCTTTAAGTGTTCTGTCCTCAGGTTCAGTTACCTTGGACACCACTTTCTCAACATCTCATTTGAACATAGGCAAATTTGCCCAGGAGCTGTTGTTGTGTGTTGCATGGAAAGGCCACAGAAGTTCAAGACATAAGAAAAAAACACAGTCTTTAGCTTTAGCAACCAACTATGGAACTCACCAATCAATAGATGTCTTTCAGCACACTCAACACCCCCCCCCCAATAAGATCCACAAATCAGGAGAAGAGGCTAGGTCTCATCCTGTAAAAGATCTGCAGTAGGTGGGATACTTCTAGGTAGAGTGTAATCAGACTTCATCACTGATATTTGAGGATTATTAGCAATGCATAAATTCTGAATGAAAGCAAAACTCTGCATTTGTTAAGGGTTTAACAGGCCGAGCCTGTTTAAAGCAGCTTGGCACTAGCAACACATTTAAATGTGTTGACAAGGAACGATTGCTCTCAGGGCTGAATCCTAAAAACCTGCACCTACAATGTATCAGTCACAGATTGCACCTAGTCATATTTAATCCCATCCCCTTTCCTGGTTTCACTGAAGCATGGCAAGGCAATTTTCTGAAAGAAACAGAGATGTTTACAGTGCTGTTAAAAAACAGCCCCAGCCATTTACAAGTCAGTGTTGTATTGTGCCTCTGACTCCAAGCCCCCAAGGCCTGAACCTTCATCTTATAACATCTTCTATGTAACTAGGCAAGCAGTTTCCTGCAAACTTGGCCATATGGTGATGGAACCTGTGGCACTTCTCTGGTGTCTTTCTGTGCTGTTTCAGATGTGGAGGATTTAGACAAAAGAGCATGCCAAGTGCAGCAGATGGGGACCTCACACGCAGCTGGGCACTTAACCCATCCCGATTCCGAAAGTGAATCAATAAAACAAGTGTGCAAACAGCTTTAGGCTATAGGTGCTCAGCATTAAGAACTGCTTATGCTAATTCACACATGACCTTGCAGACTGGAAGGGCTCTCCCTTTTCAATCACTGAAAAAAGGTCAAGAAGACTCTTGGATGGGCTGCCATTTTATCACAAAGAGATGCTGGCTAACCTGAAATAGTCTGAAAGTTAACAGAATTAAGGTAATACAATTCTATGTGTAAGGAAAGGTTCCATTTTGACAAGAGTGACAAAGGACAAGAGGGTGGATTTAATTGATGATAACTCCTCTACCACTGAGGGATGCAGGTGGCGCTGTGGGTAAAAACATAGGGTCTAGGGCTTGCCGAACAGAAGGTCGGCGGTTTTAATCCCCGCTACAGGGTGAGCTCCCGTTGCTCGGTCCCTACTCCTGCCAACCTAGCAGTTTGAAAAAGCACGTCAAGGTGCAAGTAGATAAATAGGTACCGCTCCAGCGGGAAGGTAAACGGCGTTTCTGTGTGCTGCTGTGGTTTGCCAGAAGCGGCTCAGTCATGCTAGCCACATGACCCGGAAGCTGTACGTCGGCTCCCTCGGCCAATAAAGCAAGATGAGCACCGCAACCTCAGAGTCGGCTAGGGGTCTCTTTACCTTTACCCCTGCCACTGACATCTTTCTCTTAGACTGGTGTCCCATACTGGTTATCAATTATATCTATAAGCACCAGCAATTCTGGATCATACGGTGGGCCCTGTGTTTACAATTGTTAAGAAGGGCATCTTCCCTGTTACACCAGAGCTGTCTGTTACCTTTTCGTTTTTCCTCTCTTCTGCTTTGCAGGCTGTGTTAGTTGGGCTGCAAGTTGCCAGGCTACTGATGGGCCCGTTTCCTGCTTCTCCATTCAGGTTGACTGCAGTGACGTTGGGAGGAGTAATCGCTGCTGCCGCCGACGTGAGGGGAATCATGGGCCTGGCACACTGTGCTCCGGGGATGATGTGCACAGGGGAGTGGTGGATGTGTTGCGGAGAAACCACAGAGTGTGGCCTGACCACAGTGCTTGGGAGGCGGGATGGGGAGTTCTGGGTTCTTAGTGGTGAGACTGTAGCAGTGGGCCGGTCCTGTGCCTGCACAGAAGGGTGAACAACTGGAAAGAAAGAGAGAAGGGAACAGTAAGGAAATAACCTGACTGGCACTAAACATGGTCAAAAATAGGAAGGGCAGTTGTACCTTGGAAGTCAAATGGAATCTGTTCCGGAAGTCTGTTCGACTTCCAAAACAATCACAAACCAAAGCACGGCTTCTGATTGGCTGCAGGAAGCTCTTGCAGCCAATCAGAAGCCACGAAAGCCCCGTCGGATGTTCGGTTTCCAAAGAACGTTTGCGACACTCACTTCCAGGTTTGTGGGGTTTGGGAGCCAAAACGTCCGAGTGCAAAGGTGTTCGGGATCCAAAGTATGACTGTAGTCACTTTTAAAGGTTGTAAAGTGGTCTGGATCATGCCAGCATTCCAAACCTGTCCAGTGTGTGGATTGACACGTACTAAAGCACTGGAAGAAATTGTACTGAAAATAATTCCTAATGTAGTGCGTATAGTATTTAAAAAAAAACTGTTGCAAGGCCACCGACTCATCTCAGAAGTACATTTTATTCCAGACAAATACTTTTAGGATCAGGTTGGCATTAGTTTCAACAAGACTTGCCTACTACAAAAGCGGGGGGGGGGGAGGATATCACATTTAAAATCATGCAGATTTACTTGCATTTGAACATAGGAAGCTACCTAATTATTAAGGTCAGAGTATTCATCCACCTACCTGTGTATTTTTGCTCTTACTGGCCACAGGTCTCTGAGTCTTTCCATTACCTGCTATTATATTACTATACTATACTATAATCTGAACCTTTTAACTGGAGATGCCAGGGATTGAATTTGGGACATTCTGCATGAAAAGCAGCTGCTCTACTACTGAGCTGTGCTCCCTAGCATTGTATCTTTGCCGTTATAGATATTATTGGGCAGAGGAGGCTTTTAGGGTAGCGCGACCGGTTCTGATTGCACCGGGCTGTGACAAAGCAATGCAAGAAGGGGGCGTCTAGAGTCTCACAGGGCACTGCTGAAATTTGAGGGGCCAAAGTCTGCCACTGTGTTGGGGAGTAGTTTTAAACACCATACTGAAGATTCTTCTCCCAGTATTACCCTTCATACAAACAGAACTATCAACCACAACAAGTTGTTTATCGCAAGGGAGTAACAAGCTATCTCAGAATAACAAGCATAAAGGGGTTATATACCCAGTTGAGGACTCAACGTCAAACTCCTACATTCAAGCTCAAACGCTGTCCAAGCAATACCGCTTCTTATATCTAACCGTGCAATCATATGTTCGTGTAGCTACTCAGAAACAAGCCCCACTATGTTCAATGGGGTGCATAACCAGGAAGCCACCATGGTGCCCTCCAGATGTTATGGCCTCCAACTCCCAAAGGTCAATGATAATGAGAATTGTAGCCTGCAATGTCTGGAGGTGCAGAAGATGGGAACCAAAGAGCAACATCAAATATGATGTGGCACCTCGTCCTTACTTTTCTAAGGAATTAAGTTATTTTCTCAATCTTCTGCTTCTCTGAGAAATAGCACAGCTTATATCAATTTTTTATTCGTTCTGCTCAGAACAAGATCTCTGTAGTCTACTAATTTCCCTGAAAATTCAGAGACAGCACAAGCTGCTCGACCTGGCATTGAGGCGGTCATTTAACCTCCCAAATCTACACTCTGGCACCGTTGCCAGGTGTTGAGTGTTGCTGTTCTTAAATTAAACAAATTCTCAGGACAAATTAGATAGCTCTGCAGGATGAGAAAGCAATCTGTCAGCCTCAGGAAGTATTTCTGAAATGGCTTTGAATTGCCACAGGGATATATAATTAACTGTTTTTTTTTATAATTTACTATGCATTATAGTCAATGTTAAAAGCAGAATGAATCTGTACGCAGGTAATTATTATTTGAATCAAGAAAGCCATCTGGGAAAAGGTACATTGCGGAATGCATGTATTCTGTTTACATTTTATTTTCAATAAAAGGTAGCTGTATTCCAAGACCTCAGATTTATCGCTCGTGTTTGCCTTGCATAATAAAGACATTTCATCTTTCAGAGCCTAATAAAATGTTTTAAAAATGTTAAGTCATGCACTGCTTGTCAAGTGGATTTAGAAGCATTAACCTTCTCAGCATGCAGAGTGTTTTATGCTCCAAAAGGTATTTGTGTAAATATTTGTAAGCACCGTAATTGATTTCAGCTGTGGCAAGTGGACAACCTGATAAACAAAATTCAGTTCCCAGCAATCAATAAATACTACCCTAAACACTACAGGGCACATAAAAACCTTTCCTTATTGCATGCTGGGCTTCAAATAGAGCAGAATATTTTCAGAGTAAACCTACGGAGACAAAAGGCTTCCAGGGGCTTGTGCATCTAAGACAGAATACTAGATTTGGGGAATATGGATTGTTCAGACACATGAAGGACCTATACGTACCCATTTGTACAGAACTGCGGGGCTGGATGCCTGTCTGCTGAGAGGAATACCTCGAGCAATTATTCATTTGCGGAGAGGCTGTTGGCAGTTGGGGCTGAGTGGGCGGTGCAGTGATTGGAACAGCTGGCCTGACAACAGCAGCAGTGTTTGTAAGAGCTGGGCTTCCTGGGTGGACGGCTCCTGGAGAGCCTTTGGCTGTGGGAGACCCTCCTGCCAAATTCCTCGGCTGACCAGCTCCAGCAGGAACCCTAGAGAGAGAAAGAGAAAGAGAGATAGAGAGGGGAAACCAAAAGCAAATGCTCTGTGCAGGCACACAAGAAGACATCAAAGGCATATTCTTAACATCGTTTCCAGAGGGATAGCTTTGTTAGCCTGCTCTACAGCAAAGGCACTCAGTTGCACCTCTCAATAGGTTTCCCTGGCACTTTGCTAGGTTTCTCTGGTGAAATCAGAGTTCATGCATCTATGCAAAGTCTGCAGGTTGCTGCAGATTATTATTAATAATAATAATGTGATGCAGCCACAAAAACACAACAATGTAATGGAATAATAATAATAATAATAATAATAATAATAATAATAATAATGTAATGCAAGACTGATGCAAGAATATTTGGAGGAGAGACAAGAGTTAACATCAGGCCATTTGGTCTACGAAATTTTTCATCCCAGAAGCTAAAGCAGTATTTGGATCATTAATTTTAATCGACTAGCCAGTCACCTGAGTACCTCTGGGTAGGCATGCCTCTCTGCTTGGCTACGTTTGTCACCAAGGACTGCAAAGAAGTCTGAATGACTGCATGCTACAGAAATCATGATGGAATGAAGGTCGTTGGGTCTCTAAATTTTACAGGGTAAGCGCATTGAGAGACTGTAGCTTCGGGAGCAAAATGTAATGCAAAATGCACAGCATGTGAAAAACCACCAGCAGCCAACAAATTGAATTCAATGAGTGTTAGGCACACCTATCTCTGCACTGCATTGCAACCTTACAGTCTTCCAGTAATTTATCTTGCTTAGGGTCTTTATACATGCAAGAGAAAGATTCAAACAGAAATCCTTAATCTCACAATTGCTCCCTTAAGCAGAAATAATTTTTGCAGTGCTAAAGGAATGCTGTCTTTATGACCTTTGGTCTTAGATTATTCTCCTGGGTAACATAAGGTCCCTGCTTAATTGCAAACAGATACATTTTAATTGTTATAACAACTAATATGCATGCTTGTTCTGTAAATATATGAATTAGAAAGTTGGAAATTTAGGTCAGAGATTTAAATCAATCCCTTCTTTTGGTAGCTTAATTTATCATGCTTTAAATATCAGAATCTTCTTTACCTGGCTGCTCAAAACCAGCCAGGTAAAGAAAAAAGGAGAAAAAATTAACTCCAGCACCTTAGCTTAAACAGTATCATGGAGATAAATATTACAAAGATATATTACACTGCCTTGTTGAGATAAATTGTTTGAATATACAATTTAGACTTCAAGTATAAGTTCCCAGTTCAGATGTCACTGGAAATTGGTTTAACAAAGCACAAAGTATCTCTGAAGATACACCTGGCTTGCTAGTAGTACATGTGAAAAGGACCTAGGGATCTTAGAAGGCCACAAGTTTAACATGAGTCAACAATGTGATTGTCAGGTGATGGTGTGGTTGCTCGAGAGCAAACAGGCAAGACTCCAACCTGTTTTTTCCAGGCTTTATTATTTGTACAAACTATCTTACAGTGCAGAGTGTCACAAGTCCATGTCTGCTCAGTCACTAGTAGAATCTGGGAGTGGGCGGTCCTTATACCTTCCCCAGCATAACAGTAGTGAGCCCCATCCTTCTCCTCCTCTCTCTGCGCGCAAACCTACTGTGCAACGTGGGCGCTGGCAAAGGGGGACTTGCCTCCCCTCCCCTTTGCCCAGGCTTGGTGTTGAGGCTCTCCCTAGCATCTTCTGATCCCTGTGTCCCTTCCCCACTGGAGGCGGGGCTTCCCTCCTCACCAGAGGAAGAACTGCTTCGCAAGATCTTCGGAGGCTCCCTGTAACCACAACTGCTCTTCCACCTCTCGCCTCTGAGATGACGGCAGTTCCTTGACAGTGATGAAGCAGCAAAAGAAGCTAATGCTATTGTCAGGGGTTCAGGAGCAGAGGCAAGGGCAAGGGAGGAAACAGAGAGCGAGGGGGAGGAGGCAGAAGAAAAGATGAGTGATGACGACGACCCGAGATCTCCGAGTCTTTCCAGTGAATCAGAAGATTCACAGAAAGGAGCACCAGTGGCCAGGGCAAGGGGGGAGCCTAGGGGGACACCCCAGGAAGATAGAGCCAGAGGGGACTCAGAGGGGAGCAGTTGGAAATCGGGACCAACGTCACCGCCAGAGAGCAGGGAAGAGGAAGGGCACCAGGGATCAAGCGCTGGCAACTCACAACAGGGGGGAGGGCACGAGTCAGGAGTGGCCACACCTCCATCGGGGAGCGAAGAAACGGTCAGACGGAAGGTGGAAGGTTGGGCGCGCGCGCAAGTTCAAATGCACAGGAAGGTGGCGCAGTAGGCAGCCCGGAAAGGGAGCCAGGTCCTAAAGCCCGCCGAAAGGAGGGAGAAGAGTCAGGGGGGTCAGCGTCAGCGTCAGAGGAATCCCGGAAGGAAGAGACCCCGGGGGGCAGAGGGACCCAGAGAAGAACAGTCAGGCGGAAAAGGTGGAGCAGGGCTAGGATATTAAGTTGGTGTACAAGGGGCGGAGACTCAGACGGAGCTTCGCCGATCTAACCATGAGACGTAGAGTTGCACGCAGCAGCTTGAGAATGGAAACTGTAACTCAATAAAGACTTTTGTTTAATGATCGCTGGCTAGCGTGATCCTCTGTGAGCTAGGATCTGGAAGCAGCTCTGACAGTAAGCTCCGTCTCCTAAATTGTGGGCATCTACGGCCTCGCGGAGAGGAGAGAAAGCGGGTGCCTACTAGCGAGCTCACGAACGGCAGTGTCAGGGGTTCAGGAGCAGAGACAGCAGGATAGGCGGAAATCAGAGAAGCGAGTGGCGACGGAGTCCGAAGGAAATGTTAGCGATGACAGCGAGTCCGAGGTCGCTGAGTCTTTCCAGCGAATCGGAAGACTCACAGAAAGGGGCTCCCGTGGTCAGAGCAAGGCGGGTGCCGAGGCCGACACCCCCGGCCGAAGGGGCCAGAGGGGACTCAGAGAGCAGCAGTTGGAAATCAGGACCAGCGTCCACACCAGAGTGCAGTAGGGGGGAGTGGTCCCAGGCATCGGGATCAGGCGGCGCACTGCCAGTGGGAGGACATGAGTGCAGGATTTGGCCACGCTCCATCGGGGAGCTGAGGAAACGGTCGAGGAGGAAGGTTTGAAGACTGGCGCGCGCGCAGGATTCAAATAGTACAGGAGGGCGTGCGCAGTTTGGCAGCCCGGATAAGTTGAGCTCAGGTCCTCACTATAGACCCGCCGAAGAGAGGAGGATGTGAGTCAGGGGGTCTAGCGTCAGAAGACATCCAGGAAGGAAGGGACCCGGGGCAGCAGGACAGTGGAGAACCGAGAGCGTAGAGATGGAGTAATGGCTCGTGAACCTAGACACTGGCTGAGGGCATTGAGTCTCAGAAGCTGGACTCTAGAGAAAGCCCTATGCTATATGACTGCCGCTAGTGATGTTGGTTACGCTAGGGGCAGCTGTAGGACCTGGAGCCAGCTCTGACAGGCAGACAATATGACGGCTCTGAACAGCAGATAGCGGAACCTCATAGTAGCAGTGTCACGACTGAATGCACGAAGCTCTGCATCCAGGAAGAGTAGCGTAGGACTTGCAGCTGCCGCCTACAGGGATCTCCAGGTCAGGTTGGAAGTGCTTACGAAGCAAGGGCAACTGACACCCAAACCGGAGGGGATTGGGTTGGGGAGACGAACAGGCGGTCTGGTCTCTCACTTCGATGGGAATTTGCAACAGTACCCCAACTTTAGAGCAGATGTAATGTGTGCACTGCAACTGCTGAACAAAGACTTTAGAGATGAGCAAGAGAAGGTGGGATTCATCATGTCCCATTTGCATGGAGATGCTAAAGCATGGCTGCGCAATTTGTGGAGAGATAAGGATCCGGCGCTCCAAAATGCGGATGCCTTTATTAAAGCGATGGATGGGTGCTTTTATCAAGCATTGACGTGGATCTTGCTCGGCAGCAGATACATGGACTGAAGCAAGGGAGGGCCAGCGTAAGGCAGTACCATGCCCGCTTTTCGCTTTGGTCAGTGCTCTGGAATGGGACAGAGATTCGGCTCCTGTAAGAGACCTGTTTTGGGAGGGATTGCACGGCTCGGTTAAAGATGAAATTGCGAGAGGGGAGAGACCCCGGACCACGCAGGAGATCGTTCAGAGGGCGCTGGCGGTGGGGGTGCGGCTGGAAGAACGTCCGTGGAGCAGGGACGAAGGGCGTGGAGGGCGCGAACCAGCCAGGGGCTCCTCCTTCCTTCCCAGAGAAGCAGCGCGTGCGCAATCCACGCCTCCGCCAGGAGGAGGAGCGGAACCTATGGAGGTTGGAGGTGCAAGGGCTCAGTCAGCAGCCAGAGCCCTAGCACCGGCAGCAGTGAAAGCGAAGCCTCCTAGAGGGAACAGGAAGTGTTACATCTGCGATGATCCACAGCATATGGCGAAAGAGTGTCCCCAGAGGCTCCACAAGCACACTGCAGCCTCAGCAATGGTAACTGCAGCAACGCAGCAAGGAGAACCACGGCAGGGAAACGACGGAGTCTGGCTGGAGAAAGAGGCACTGGGGCCCAGCCAGACGTGTCAGTGAAGCAGTCCCCAGCGATTTTACAGCCCATGGACCCCTCCCGCCCAAACCAGTAGTGAGGCTCACCGCGTCGCTCCAGCTGCCCAATGGCATCACCATGGACGTGCCAATCACCATTGACTCCGGAAGCAATGCGGACTTTATAGGGCAGGACTTTGTCGACCGGCACGCTATACAGTTGCTGCCTGCCACGCTGCCCCTGCAGGTTGTCACGGTGGATGGCAGGGAGCTGCTAGGGGGGCAAGTGGTGAAGCAGACGCCACCAATGGTGATGAGACTTGGGAATCACAGGGAAATCATCAGCTTCAATGTCACTCAACTATCGGACACGCCCATTGTATTGGGCATGAGTTGGCTGGACAAGCACAGCCCGACGCTGGCTTGGTACCAGAGGCAGCTGACCTTCGGCTCTTCCTTTTGCGCTGAACACTGCATCGTGCCCCGGCAGGAAGGAGAGGAAGAGGAGTCACAGCTGCAGCTCGGCACGCTGCAAGCGGTTCCCCACAAGTACGCAGCATTTTTGGAGGTTTTCTGTGAGAAGGAGGCAGACAGGCTACCCCCCCACAGACCATATGACTGCAAAATTGACCTGCTGCCGGGGGGCGGCGCTGCCCAAAGGGAAGTTGTATTCCATGTCTGAGGACGAACTGCAGGAACTCAAAGAGTTCATAGATCATAATTTGGAGCGCGGTTTCATCCGAGAGTCCACGGCAGCGGGGGGGCAGTCCGGTATTCTTTGTTAAGAAGCGGGACACGCACCAAAAAAGACTTGTAGTGGACTATCGCATTTTGAACAGCGTGACCAAGCCATCGGACTTCCCCATGCCCCGAATCGACGACCTCCTCGCGAAGGTACGGAAGGGCAGCGTGTTCACCAAGTTGGACCTGCGAGGGGCGTACAACCTCATTCGCATGCGGGAAGGAGATGAGTGGAAGACAGCCATGTTCACGCCCCTGGGCACCTACGAATATAGAGTTATGCCTTTTGGATTGCAAAATGGTTCCCACGTTTTTCAAGCTTTCATGCATCACGTGTTGGCGGGGCTCCTCTACAAGACGTGCGTCTGTTTCTTGGATGACATCCTGATCTTTTCGGAATCGCAGCAGGAGCATGACAGGCACGTCAAAGAAGTGCTGAGCAGGCTACAGCAACATAGGCTTTACGCCAAGCTGGAGAAGTGCCAATTCGACGTGACGGAGGTGGATTTCCTGGGCTACAAGTTGTCTGATAAAGGGCTCGCCATGGACAGCACCAAGGTCCGAGCAGTGTTGGATTGGAAAAGCCCACGCAACCGGAAGGAGGTCCAACGGTTTGTCGGCTTTGCGAACTTCTATCGCAAGTTTATCAAAGGCTTTGCCATGCAGACAGCGGCCATCACGGACACGCTCAGCTCCAAGAAAAGAAGTTCATCTGGACTGAGCAGGCGGAGCAGTCCTTTCAGGCACTCAAGCCGCCTCTTCGCGTCGGAAGAGCAACTGCTTCATGTCAACCCCAGCAGGCCGATGAGGGTGGAGACAGACGCTCGGACAGAGCCGTGGGAGCAGTCCTGCTGCAGAAGGACCCGCAGGGGGTTTGGAGGCCGGGAGCGTTTTACTCAAGGAAGCTCAGCAAGTCCGAACAGAACTACACCATCTGGGACAGGGAGTTGCTGGCCATTCATGCAGCGTTCAAAGCGTGGAGGCACTTCCTGATCGGCGCCAAGCACACGGTGCAGGTCTGCACGGACCACAAGAATCTAGAGCACTGGCGCACGGCACAGTTCCTGAACCAGAGGCAGATACGTTGGGCTGAGTTCTTTGCGAATTTCGACTTCCGAATAGAGTATGTCCCGGGGACACCAACATCATGGCGGATGCTCTCTCCCGTAAGCCACAGTATTTGGAGGAGGCAACGCCAGCGGCCGCCATGCACATCTTCGCACCGACAGTGTGGGCGTGCACGGCGGCAACAGTTGACCTGGAGGCGGTGCGACGAGCGTTGCAGGATGACTCCTTCGCGCAAGCAAAGATGGCAGAGGCGCACAGGGGCACGGCAGCGACCGACGAGTTCCAGCTGCGAGATGGTTTGCTCATCCGTAAAGGGGCCATCTACGTGCCGGGAGACGAACTTCGCGCCAAGGTACTGCAGCAGCTGCACGACGCGCCCACTGCCGGGCACTTTGGCAAGGAGAAAACGGTGGAATTAGTAGCCAGAGACTTCTGGTGGCCAGGAATGAGAGGGGAAGTCGCGGACTACGTGGCGAGGTGTGACACCTGCCAGAGGGCCAAACCAGTGCACAGACCGCCGGCCGGACTGCTGGAACCGCTGCAAACTCCGTTCGAACCATGGGAGAGAGTGGCCCTGGACTTTGTCACGGATCTGCCCAGCTCGAGGGGCAAGACGGCTGTGCTGGTGGTGGTGGACTTGTTCTCCAAGATGGCACATTTCATTCCGTGTGCGAAGGTGGCCACGGCGGAACAAACCGCCAAACTGTTCATAGACCACGTGTTCAAGGTTCACGGTCTGCCGCGGTCTATTCTGTCCGACCGAGGGCGACAGTTCATCTCGAACTTCTGGCAGAGGCTGATGGGCTTCCTGAACGTCAAGATCAACCTGGCGTCGGCTAGACACCCGCAGACCAATGGGCAAGCGGAGCGGGTCAATGCCATCATGCAGCAGTACCTGAGATGTTATGCGAATCAACAGCCTGCGACGTGGGTGGATTACCTGCCTCTCGCCGAGTTCGCCTACAACAACACGAAGCACGTGTCCACGGGGGTCACGCCGTTCTTCGCCAACAACGGGAGGCACCCCAGAACCTTCCCGGGACTGGAAAGAATGGGGGAGGGGGGCCGCAGACAGCAGATGCATTCGCGTCGGAGTTGCAGGAGGTCCACGATCAGCTGCGGCGGCACCTGGAGCTGGCTAAACACGCATACAAGGTACAAGCGGACAAACACAGAAGGGTTGGCGAAGAGATCCATGTGGGAGACTGGGTCTGGTTAGCAGCCCACGCAGTGCCGGCCAGGTCGTTGGCGAAGAAGAAACTAGGGCATAAACAACTGGGGCCCTACCAAGTCGAAGAACAGGTCAACCCGGTGGCTTTCAGGCTGGCTCTTCCGGAGGGTTCCAGAATGCATCCGGTGTTCCACAGATCGGTGCTCACTCCCTACAAGGCACCTCACAGGTTTCAGGAACCAGGAACGGCACCGGGTCCGCTCCGAGAGAGAACCGGGCAGGGGGGAGTGGCACGGGAGGAGCGCATCAACGAAGTCACGGAGATTTTGGACTCCAGATGGGGGGAAGAGGGGGTAGAATACCTTCTCGCCAAGGAGGGCCACCCGGCCAGTGCCAACACATGGGTGACGGCCTACGCATAAGACGAACCTCTGCTCAAAGAAGAGTTTCATGACCTCTTCCCACATAGGCCAATGCCAGCAGACTTTTCGACGACTGGCTTTTCACGCCCACGCTTTCAGCCAGCACGTTCCGGGGTTCGACTCGGACGAGGAACCGACACGAGACGCCCGTTCCCCGGAGGGGTCACCCTCAGGATCTGCTTCAGAACCCTCGTATTGGTGGGATGATCGACCAGAGGAGCAGTTCCGTAGAAGGTGGCTGGAGGGTCCAGGACGAGCAACGTCTCCAGAAGGCAACGAGGGAGAGACGGACATGGACTTTTCGGGACGACCCGGGTTTCGAGCACGGCGGCACAGAGATGGAAGCGGAGGTGACCGTCGTCAACGAGAGCAGGGAGGAAGAACCGGAAGACTTCAGATGGCGGCCCGCCACGGGAAGCGAACTGTATCCGACATTCGTCCCCTGACACGGCAGCACCCAGATCCCGCACCGGAAGGAGGGGAGGGGGAAGAGGGGGCTTCGAGGGGGATGGATGTCAGGGGTTCAGGAGCAGAGGCAAGGGCAAGGGAGGAAACAGAGAGCGAGGGGGAGGAGGCAGAAGAAAAGATGAGTGATGACGACGACCCGAGATCTCCGAGTCTTTCCAGTGAATCAGAAGATTCACAGAAAGGAGCACCAGTGGCCAGGGCAAGGGGGAGCCTAGGGGACACCCCAGGAAGATAGAGCCAGAGGGGACTCAGAGGGGAGCAGTTGGAAATCGGGACCAGCGTCACCGCCAGAGAGCAGGGAAGAGGAAGGGCGCCAGGGATCAAGCGCTGGCAACTCACAACAGGGGGGAGGGCACGAGTCAGGAGTGGCCACACCTCCATCGGGGAGCGAAGAAACGGTCAGACGGAAGGTGGAAGGTTGGGCGCGCGCGCAAGTTCAAATGCACAGGAAGGTGGCGCAGTAGGCAGCCCGGAAAGGGAGCCAGGTCCTAAAGCCCGCCGAAAGGAGGGAGAAGAGTCAGGGGAGTCAGCGTCAGAGGAATCCCGGAAGGAAGAGACCCCGGGGGGCAGAGGGACCCAGAGAAGAACAGTCAGGCGGAAAAGGTGGAGCAGGGCTAGGATATTAAGTTGGTGTACAAGGGGCGGAGACTCAGACGGAGCTTCGCCGATCTAACCATGAGACGTAGAGTTGCACGCAGCAGCTTGAGAATGGAAACTGTAACTCAATAAAGACTTTTGTTTAATGATCGCTGGCTAGCGTGATCCTCTGTGAGCTAGGATCTGGAAGCAGCTCTGACAGCTGGGAATCTGGGAGTGGGCGGTCCTTATACCTTCCCCAGCATAACAGTAGTGAGCCCCATCCTTCTCCTCCTCTCTCTGCGCGCAAACCTACTGTGCAACGTGGGCGCTGGCAAAGGGGGACTTGCCTCCCCTCCCCTTTGCCCAGGCTTGGTGTTGAGGCTCTCCCTAGCATCTTCTGATCCCTGTGTCCCTTCCCCACTGGAGGCGGGGCTTCCCTCCTCACCAGAGGAAGAACTGCTTCGCAAGATCTTCGGAGGCTCCCTGTAACCACAACTGCTCTTCCACCTCTCGCCTCTGAGATGACGGCAGTTCCTTGACAGTGATGAAGCAGCAAAAGAAGCTAATGCTATTCTAGGCTATACTAGAAGTATAGTGTCCACGTCAAGGGAAGTAATAGTACCACTCTATTGTGCCTTGGTCAGACCACACATGGAATCCTGTGGCGAGTTCTGGGTGCCACAATTTAAGAAGGACATTGGCAAGCTGGATTGTGTGCAGAGGAGGGCAACCAAGATGATCAAGGGTCTGGAAACCAAGCCTTATGAGGAATGGTCGAGGGAGTTGGGTATGTTTAGCCTGGGAAAGAGGAGTCTGTTAAGAGCTAGGAGAGCCATCTTCAAATATGTAAAGGGCTGTCACATGGAAGATGAAGCAAGCTTGTTTTCTCTTACTCCGGGGGGATTCAAGTTACAAGAAAGGAGATTCTGACTAAACATCAGGAAGAACTCTCAGGGACTTAGAGCTGTTAGACAGTGGAACAGACTCCCTCGGCAGGTAATGGACTCCCATGGAAGTTTTTAAGCAGAGTTGGTTGGCCATCTTCCATGGATGCTTTAGCTGAGATTCTTGCATTGCAGGGGGTTGGAGCAGAATGACCCTTAGGCTCCTTTCCAACTCTACAGGTATGTAATTCTATAGGTAGAGATACAGAGAAGGAAGCACCTGAGCTCATTCCCTCTTGAATAAAGCATGGCTTATTGGACCAGGAATGTTACCTCTAAACTGGGTCACTGAGTAAGACCAATAAACCCTTTAGTCAAGTGCTATCTATCCTGAGTGTAACCAACAATCTAGGGTCTCTGACACGTACATGAAGTATGACTGATAGCAGAGTGATATACACTATGGCCTCTCTCTTTCTCTCTATTTTAGGGGAACCCAGTGCAACCTGAAAAGAAATATATTCGTATGCGAACATTGCTCAGGATATGTATGATTGCTCAGTGCCGATCTTTCCACTGTTTCTCACCTCGAAACAGGAGTTACGTAGTTGCCGGGAAAGACTCCAGACATGCCGTTTCTCAAAGACGTCCCTTTGAACCAGCCATCCTGACACTTCTCAATAACGCGATACATTTCACCCTTGCGTAGTTCCAGTTCATCTGTCTTCTGGGGCTTGTATGCATATAATGCCAAGTAGCTGTAAGAAAGGAATGACATAAAAAAGGAAGGTATGAAGTTGAAACACACACATGTGACCTGATTCAGGCTGCATCTCAGTTCCCCCCAATCAGAAAGCTCTGTTTGTCATAAACGATGCTTTCTAAATACATAGGTAAGAGGGAGTTATTGAAAGTGTAAAGAATGGCAAATTATTCCAACTACAGTGGTACCTTGGGTTACAGATGCTTCAGGTTACAGACGCTTCAGGTTACAGACTCCGCTAACCCAGAAATAGTACCTCGGGTTAAGAACTTTGCTTCAGGATGAGAACAGAAATTGTGCGGCCGTGGCACAGCGGTAGCGGGAGGCCCCATTAGCTAAAGTGGTATCTCAGGTTAAGAACAGTTTCAGGTTAAGAATGGACCTCCAGAACGAATTAAGTTCTTAAACTGAGGTACCACTGTAAAAAGCAAGAGTACAAAATGGCTCCATTCCGGTAAAGTTAGGCATGGCACCTAATTGGACTCACTAATAATAATTGGACAGTTGTCAATAACTTCCTCCACTGGTGTCAAAAGGACAGTCTCAATCTTAGCTGGATGTGACAGACTGAGATGAGAAGGAACAATGAATCAGAATTCATTGCAGGGGGCTGTACTAGATGGCTATTGGGTCCCTTCTAACTGTAAGATTCTATGATTAAAATGATGCAATAATCCAGAAATACTACGAAACAATTACTAGAAATAATTAATAAAGAAAACAATTCCCAGTTCCCCCTGTTTATCAGCTATGAAAATGCTCCTTAAAATGTTCTGAACATTTGCTGCATTGCACAAAACTGCCCTTTTCTACTAAAACCCATGTGGATTTTTCTAGCAATAGGAGTAACAGGAGTAGGAGGAGTTCAGTCCCAGAACATAGGACAAAAGAAACACTGAACTACTTGTGACTATAGACTGCAGCCAATAAATATGATGCATGGCTTTTAAAACTTCTGTTTTCCAGGAAATGTAATTTGAAAAATAAATCCTGCTTTCTTTCTTTATCCTTTTCTTTACAGTGCCACGAATTCTTTTGCACTGTTTTGCAGTCAGGAAATAAAAATGGCAGTAATTATTAGGACACTTACATTTTTCTAACAAGTCCTGTAGGTGCACTTTGGGGCTCAATTTACCATGTGCTTGCAGTATGGAATGTTCTGATCTTTTATGTGTTTATTTGATGGTAAACATGCGAAAGTACTGCAGCCATCCTCATTGGCCATACATGTGCAATGGACCACTCTACCATGGGCCATGCTGTCTGCCACTCCTGGGCGACATGCACACACCAGACATAGATATTAACACTATCTGCAACTGGCCAGTGGCACTAGAAAGGGACAAACTGGGAATTTGCCTTTACCTTTACGCAGGCAAACAAGCAGTTGCAGCTACTAAGTCATTGAGGAAAAGATGAAATGTGGCACAGGAGTGTTTGTTTAAAGGGCTTCTTTGAGCAGGTCGAGAGGTTGGAAGAAGGTACAGAAGGGGTACCAAGCCACCCAGTGGAACTTGCACTGAAACCAGAAGAGCAAATGTACAATCCCTAGCTATGGTCCTAGCACCATGCTGTGGTGGTTAGGCACTATGATAATATTCTCTCTCCACTATATAAGAACTAAGTGGCTTTGGTCTTCCACAGGATGACAATTTAACTGTTTTTGCCTGAACAAAGACTTGCAATGCCATATATACCGTATTTTTCGCTCTATTGGACGCACCGGACCATAGGACGCACCGGACCATAGGGGGGGAGAACAGGGGGGAAAAAATTCTAAGTCAAGGTGTGTTCTGTGCGTTCAAGGTGCATTCACCCGAAGCCTCCGGAGCCCAGCGGGAGTTCCCGCTGGGCTCTGGAGGCTTTGGGTTCCTTTCGACCTGCTCTTTGGGGCTGGCGGGGGGGGGGGAGCGCTGCTTTCCCCCACCGCCAGCTTCCAAACCAGGCTTCTGGATGCAGGCTGCTATCCGCAAGCCTGGGGAGCCCGGCGGGAACTCCCGCCAAGCTCCCCAGGCTTGCGGTTAGCTTCCTGAAGCCTGGAGAGCAAGAGGGGGCAGGGCGCACCGACCTCTCTCGCTCTCCAGGCTTCAGCGAAAGCCTGCATTCGCTCCATAGGACGCACACACATTTCCCATTCATTTTTGGAGGGGAAAAAGTGTGTCCTATAGAGTGAAAAATACGGTAATAAACCTTGAATTAGATGAGGCTGCAAGTTACCTGATAAATGTTGTTGATTGACCAGTTTCAGCTGCTTTTCTTTCGGCACCTTCAATAAGACTTGCTGCTGGGTTCATAACTGTACCCAGTCTTGTCTGTCCATTGACCATCAGTGTGATTGACACTTTTAATCATTGGTAGGGAAACTGTGGCTGCCCAGATGTTGCAAGGCACTATCTCCCATCAGCCCTAGCCACCATGGCCTATGATATTGTGGGATTGTGGGATTTGTTGTCTAACAATATCTGGAAGACTGCAGGTTCCCTATCCCTGTTTTTAGCAAAGATGGCTGTACCAACATTTCTAAAAACCACCTTTGCAAAACTTGACCCAACCCTTAGGCGTGGATATGATTGCTGGATGGAGGTGGAAGGGAGCCCTGCTTGACACCTGTTGCAAAAAAGCACGGAAAAGCCATTCTTGTGCCGAAACGACCTAGATAAGGGGGGGAAAATGTATTTATATTTCCTTGGAGCATGCTCTTGGCATAGTATTGAGATTAACAGCGTTATCCGGCTACGAAGTCTCTGGACATGACTGCTTTTCATCACCCACTAGCATACACTTTGAGGCTGAGATAAACTATAAAGAGAGAGAGAGAGAGAGGAAAAAATCACCCTAGCACCTTCAAAGCGGCAATAAGATGACATTTCACAGTACGGTGGGCTGGATCTAGTTAACTGACACAGTTTTAATCTACAATATTCAGCACTAAAAGTTGCCTGCCAGAATTTCCAGATTTAACTTTGGGCCTGAGGGACTCAACTGTGACTGAATTTATAATGTTGAATTCATGGTGCTATGGTTAATGTCATCTCTGTAGGTCTATTATCAGTTCGAGACACAATTGCTTTGAAGTGATGCCTGGCTCCCGGCCACAAAGAGCACGAAGGTGCTTATTTTTCTTTCCCCTCTCTATATAAAATATTCTATAACTTGGTCAAGTGAAACAACGTAGGCAACTGGCTGCTAAAATGAAGAGAGGACCTGCCTTATATATATATTTTTAGCGATGAAAGATGGGGAATTAACTGCTTATACTGCAAACTGAAACACATCTACAATTCTATGATTTGTACAATTACAGTGGTACCTCTAGATACAAACGGGATCCGTTCCGGAGCCCCGTTCGCATCTAGAAGTAATTGTAACTAGCGACGGCACGTTTGCGCACACGCGCGTTGCTTTTCGCCGCTTCTGCGCATGCTCGTGATGTCATTTTGAGCGTCTGCACATGCGCAAGTGGCGAAACCCGGAAGTAACTTGCTCTGTTACTTCCGGGTTGCCGAGGAGCACAACTCGAACGTGCTCAACTCGAAGCATATTTAACCCGAGGTATGACTGTATACTGTTACCTGTACAACTGTTACTATCCAATTATCTTATCTGGCGTGGTGTTTCCTTGCCCATCAATGAAGTTTCACCACCACAGCGAATTACTACGAAAGCTGAAGCTTAAGGGCTAGAACATCTGCTTTGCAGGCACAAGGTCCCAGGTTCAGTCCTTGGTCGTGGGTGGATCCCTCATCTGAAACCCTGGTAAGCCACTGCCAGTCCGTGTGGGAAATAGGATGAACCAATCGCCTGACTACAAGGCAGATTCCTATGTTCCAACAGATAGTTCTCTTCTTATACAAATACATTAAGGCAGCATTCAGAAGTCATGCTGAAACACAGCTTTGTGCAATGTTCATCCTGAGCCATGGTTCCATCAAATAGCCTTGTTTCAAACAAACCAGTTAATGTTTATCATAGTTTGCTGGCTCAGATGAAATGATCTAACCTCTGCTACGCCAAACTGGGTGGAAAAGCAATTGCATGGGAGGAGGAGAGCAGAGCACACTGATCGAAGGTTCATTGCAGCTCATTCACAGTGGGCTAAGCAGTAACAGGTAAGTCTAAAGATGGCCTATGTCTGAATGCATCTCCAGGCAGGGCTGGGAGACAGAGACCCTTGTTTAAAATTCTTACGCTGCCAGTCAGTGTGGATCAGTGTTTCCCAAACTTGGGTCTCCAGCTGTTTTTGGACTACAATTCCCATCATCCCTGACCATTGGTCCACCTAACTAAGGATGATGGGAGTTATAGTCTAAAAACAGTTTGGGAAACACTAGTGTAGCACAATTCAAAGTGTAGGTGCTGACCTTTAAAGCCCTAAACGGCCTCAGCCCAGTATACCTGAAGGAACTTTCCCACCTCCATCGTTCAGCCCAGACAGTGAGGTCCAGCTCCGAGGGCTTTCTAGCGGTTCCCTCACTGCGAGAAGTGAGGTTACAGGGAACCAGGCAGAGGGCCTTCTTGGTAGTGGTGCCCGTCCTGTGGAACGCCCTCCCATCAGATGTCAAGGAAATAAACAACTCTCTGACTTTTAGAAGACACCTGAAGGCAGCCCTGTTTAGGGAAGTTTTTAATGTTTGATGTTTTATCGTGTTTTTAATATTCTATTGGGAAACCCAGCCAGATGGGCAGGATATTAATAAATAAATAATAATAAATTATTATTATTATTATGCTCAGCTAGATGGGCTAATGGCTTAGCTCAGCATAAGGCAGCTTCCTATGTTCCTGATTATGGACATTCTAAAGACATTGTGCCCTCATTGAAAAGAGAAGTTAAAAGCAGGGTAATTTAGTTTCCCGAATTTCTCCTTTGGGCAAAGCAGATTATTAAATTCAGATTTATTTTTGGAAATCAGGCCCACACTTGGGTTTCTGTTTCAGCAGCATAACTTACGTCAAATACATACAAATATAAAGCACATCCATTATGAGATTTATTTAAAGACATTTAAAGTTATCCCTGATAAAGTCAACCTCTTCTTCTTCTAAGTAATAGTTAATCAACCTGAATCATCTTTTGCCTAAGCTGAAGCTTTTTGCACATATGATGTTCACGCTATGTCTTCGTTATTCTTTTTCTACAGTGCACAACTGGGTGGTTTTTTTTTTTCATTCTAGAAACTGTGCGTCCTAACAAAGATGGTCTCAGGTGTTCAATTGTACAGGAATGTAATGGTTTAATTTGCAGGAGCAGATTTCTGCAGCTGATAGCCACTCAGCCTGCTATGCAATGATTCATACATCTGTAATAAATATCTTGGAAGCTAAAAATGGGCTATATAAAGAAGGTGACCTGGCCTTTCACTGTTCATTTTTCAGCTCTGGCAGAAGGCTGGGTTATGTTCAAGACAATGATAACTACATGAGAAGTGTTCCTGTCGCAGAGCTATTATTTCAGACGGCAAACAATGAGAGACAAAATGTGTTGCGTATCCTTAAAACAATGTTCAGTGCAAAATGGAGGCTTACATGTTGAGGGGCAGCTGGACCTTTGATGGTGTTCCCTGATCTCCAATGATTGCACTTGTTCTGGGTCCAGTCATGGTTGCAGTTCCAGCGAAAGTAGAATCCTAGGAACAAAAGAAAAATAGAAAGAAATGAAAACAAATAATTTCACAACATACTTAAGATTTGTTCGGGAGTTAGAGCTGCACTCTCTCTGCCCCCCTCCCGAATCCCAAAGACTTTCATTGGCATGGCTGCCCTAACCATTGACATCCTTGCAATGTTAGCTTAATGTTATGGGCCAATATCAATAAAGAGCTCTTTATACAAGGCTTCCAAATGAATAGATTTCAGATTATTCGTGCTTCGAATCACTCACAAACTGGTGACTCACATACTCAAGGTTTGGCTTGAAAGGCAGAGCTACTATTGTTCCAAAGGCAGTGAAAGTACCTCTAATCCCCTTACAATTACCCTAAGTACTTTTCGAAGGCCTCTCTGGTTGATCCCTGCCATTCATGTTCCTAGCAACACCTTGGCACTTATGTACCAAGTCTTCCCTGGTTTGTTTGTTAATTTTTTCATTTTTATTTTTGCAGTTTCAGGTCTTGCTGCTGCTGGTAGCTGTTTTCTTGGTGGCTTGTGGAGAACAGCAATGATCTGCTCACCTGGGGCTCTGGGGGAGCGGCATTTACTGCATGGTGCGGCCAAGGCTGGTCCAAGGAGGCCGCCATCTTCCTGCATGGCTGGGGGAGGGGAGGATCACTTGGCACCACCTTCCTCTGGCTGTGTTGGATCTACATGCAGGCTGACATCCCTGCAGACAGTTGCAGGACTTACTACCAACCCAGTCTGTTAGGTGTCTGTTCAGTGTAGGAGCGGGCAAGCTGGCATATGGACCTTGCTATGGCTTACTCAGTCGCCATATCTGGAATTATCTCCTGCAAGCAAATTGGCCAGCTTGCAAGCTTTCACCTACCTCATAGCAACCGTCACAACTTTGACGGATAAGGCATTGGGATCCTTAAGTCATGCAAGTACCCTGCTAAAGGGGTTCAGGAGGGGTGACTCTGTCCGGGAGTCCACATGGGGACCAATGGGCCTCTCCCAATGGCACCCTGTGTGGGGTCGTGGCATGTGGTCCACGTCGTGGGCAACTCCTCAACACAGGGTCGACCCCACTGGGTTCCTATCAGACAGGATGCAGGCTGCCTGATGTTGGATACATGCCCAATGCCTTAGCCAAACCTACTCTTATCTATAATCAGTAAAATTGTGGCCTAATTCAACCCAGTACCAATCTGTGTTCATTTCCTTGGTCTTCCCTGCACCAGCTGTGGACATCATGAGTCTGTGGTGGCAAGGGAGTGCTCATGGAACCCCTGTGAACACGCAACAGCCAATGCACCTCCTAAACATTGATGTGCTGGTGCATCTTGCCTTGTGGCTGATGTAGATTCAACTCAACAATACATATTTTGCTTTACAGCAACTCTTTTTTTATTACCTCAAGGCATGTTTGTTTAGCTTTACACATTCTAAGAATATATTTCTGGCACAAGGAACACTTGATTGTTCACAACAACGATTATAGCTCAGCTGCAACGTGCCCAGCAATCTTGGCAGTCTTGGATCTTGGAAAGCAAATCTTTGCGTCTGCTTTCAAGGACCTGCTCAATATCTCTATCACAGGAGCAGCATTTAATTTGAGAAGTCGCATCGTTTTCCTGTTAAATCGTTTTCTTATTAGCCCTGTGTGATAATAATATTTTACATGTTTGTTGAAAAATAGATTATTGTCATTTGCTTTGTTCTGGGTATTACTTTTTTTTAATAACTGGGACTGCTCATCTCTTTAGTGAAAAGGGATGAAACACAGAGCAATGAAAAAATAATTATGGTCATTATAATACAGTTTGTATTGAAGTTTATATTGCTTTCCATTCCGATCATATAAAGCATTTTCATAAGAGAAACCAGACAGAACTTACAACTGGGTACAAATAGAGATACAGTCATACCTCGGGTTGAGCGTGTTCGAGTTGCGCTCCGCGGCAACCTGGAAGTAATGGAGTGTGTTACGTCCGGGTTTTGCCGCTTGCACATGCGCTCAAAATGATGTCACGCGCATGCGCAGAAGCAGCGAAAAGCGACGTGCACAGACGTGCCGTCGCTAGTTATGTTTGCTTCTAGATGCGAACGGGGCTCCGGAACCAAGTATCTAGAGGTACCACTGTATAGTTTTCTATGGATTATAGTGGCATGAGGCTACCCAAGGGCACAGGATAATTTCTGTTGTTATTGCAACAAGAAAGAAGGCGAAAGCCTGTCTGAGTACAGCAGAAGGAAGAAATTTGGAAGTACTTAAATCCCTGGAAGTACTTAAAGGTAAACCCTGTGCTCCATTCATCAGAATTCAATCTATCATCTGAGGTTGAATTTGGCCCTATGGTATTAAAAGTTTCCAAGGTCTTGTATCTACTTGAAAGTGGCGGGTTCACTTATTCAGCTATTAGAGAGACCTTGGATGGAATATATTTATAAATCTCCCCTCTTCTTTAGGAAGTCTTGTGGGATTTTTCAAATCCACGAGTTGGAGGCGCATTTCATAAGCTGTGAAGTGTGACAAACTTTTAATGCTTCTTTCCAGCTCACCGTCTAATAATCTTAAAACTCCTATCAGTCATTTACTTAGCTGGTGCCAGCACCAGGAACTGGCGCAAGGGCAACGATGCAGAAGCAACTCTTTGATGCTGAGCCTCGGACTTCTCATTCCGTATGCATTGTTCTCCTAAGATCAGAGGCACATGGGCACTGCATAAGAGCAGAGAACTTTGCAGAGAAGATTTCGGAGGGAGGGATGCACTGGGCCGAAGGCAACCTTATCCTAAAAAGCAAGCAAGCAAACAAAAACCCTCAAAAAAATGTAACCTGAAACAGCAACAGTCTTCATGTGCTGGAGGCAGGTGCGCGCTCGTCACCTATCCTTATATGTAATGTAAAGTGAGACATGTTTGCTTCATGCGTAAGCCTACACGCATCACCGCGGAACTGTTCCCTCTGGGCAGGGGGGAAGTAGAGAAAGATTGTACCAATCAGACTTTGCAATGTGTGGGTCTTTGTGGTGTTCCCACGGCAGGAAGGCAAATATGTTCGGCCCTTCAACACACGAAGACAACTGCCTGCACAAGTGCCTGAACTGAGCCCATGTCAAGGGAACCTGGGGTGCCCCTAACAGGATATTCGTGCCATGTTGCATCCAACAGAACAGAATAAGAACCCTTGAGAGCATGGGCCATTTCATTGGCAATTGCAGTGTGCTTGATTTACAGGCTGGAGGTGCTGAATAAATGCTTGTCATTTATTCACACTTCTCTTCCTATCTGATGCCAAGCGCTCAAGGTGAGTCACGTTAGCTTTGTTTGCACGTAATACTAAGGCAAACCATGGCTTTGGCATGAAGAAGAAGAAGAAAACGTTTCTGGACTTAATATTGCAGATGCAGTGTTGGGCTGCCTGGGGCTAAGACATATTTTGGCTTAGTGTTATGTCTGAGCCAGAGCTCAGACACGTTTTACTTCCAGCCTGAATTTTGCTTTTATGAATTGTTTTCTGCAATTTTTGGGGAGCGGGAATGGCTAAAAGAGCAAGTCTTTTTGTTGACACATGGGAGCTGAGCACAGTAAGAAAAATACCAGTATAGGTCATTATTTTTGCAAGTGGGAGGGGGGAAATGCTATTGTTGATGCTGTTAGTGAAGATACCACCCAACAACTCCTATTCTGATTTCAAAACAAATTCAACAGAATTCCACAGCAAGGAACTCCTTCTCATATTCGTTAATGAAGGAATGTGTCTTTTAATGTATGGATTATATAGCTATATCTTATTTTTAAGAAGAGAGAGAGATGCACTCCGATACACACATACAGGTTAATAATATGCCATCATCTGGGAATAGCTGAAGTAGAAAACAGGCTAATGGTCCTTGAGATTCATGCTACTCATTTCTGTCAAATCCACTGACTATAAAACAATGGGTCATGCAATCACTCCAGGCCTTAATGTTCTTGGAAATAATGTGAAAGCACTTAATTCATAGTTGTGTTACCAAGTATTGGCAAGAAAGAACTACAGTCAAGATCAAGTATTCTCATCAAATGTTAATTACCAAAGTGGGAGGTAAAACATTCAACAGCTCCAGCATACAGCTTTCTATTTAATGGTGCCATATATTTTAAAAACACCCCTATATATACAGATAAACATAATTACAGCTGCAGATGGGCACACACCATCTACTTGTCTGCTGCGGAAGGTGATGAACATCAATCTCTCCTATGGATTTATTTAGCCTATAAATTATTGAGCCATCTGTGGCACTTCTAACCCTCCCCTGCACCAGCAGGCAGCACAAGAGGTTGGAGAATAAGCTGCGTTTTCTTGTAGCTGGACAGGAACATCACAGTGGCTCAGCAATAGTCAGGAACACCAGTTCCATGAAATAAGAGTCCCACATGGCTACAGGGCCTGGCGAAGGACTGAAGCAGTTGCTACTGTCCATGTAAGTTTCCACCTTCTTGTGAATTCCTCCCTTTAATTTGGATGTTTCCTACTTTCCTGGTTGTATGCTACGCTGCCCCGATAGGAAAGCATTAGGCTGTCATTTCAGTGATCCACTGAAAGTAGTGATGGTTCTATCCTCCTATGAGCAATTTCCATTGTGCCCACCTTCTGTATAAAGAATGCCACTATGTCCTTAAATTTAATTTGTTTGGCAGAGGGCTGTACGACTATTTGACGGATTTACTTGTTCACTTCCAGATTGGTGCCTCAAGTTATAATCGGCAACATTAGGGCTGATTCAGACATTCAAAAAAACTCATCCTTGTGACACCCCCGCCCGCATCTCTCCTAAGGGATGCATTCATAAGAACAAATGTGTGACCTGGCGGATCCAAGTACTCAGAACTAATTCTTATGAATGTGGCAGCTGGAACATGTGCTGAAACAACAGGGGAAACTATGGGAACTGCAGCTGCTTCCTTGGCTGGCTGGAAGGCAATACAGTACATTCTCCATGTGAATGTCTGCCTGGGGGGCAGCGTGGATGTATTGCATGCTCCTGACAACGGCACAGACAAGTTATTTTAATACCATGGTTGTCCTAAAAAACTGTACTCCATACGGGTGATGTGAAACTTGGTGGACTAATGCAATAGGTAAGGTCATAATATAACCAGCTAAACACTAACCCTTGCATTAGACTGTCCCCCCCCCCACTCAAATATGAATTTAAGGTGTTTGAAATTCCTAAGATTCCAATTTGACATCTTTTGTGGGTTACACTCTGAATGCAGAGCAAATTCAGATTAAAAGCCCAGTTCAGGTAAAACTTGGGACTCAGCTACATTAGTCAAGAAACAGTGTTTTGAATGTGTTATAAACATGAAACGCCAGATGGCGCCAGAGAGCAAAAGAAAATCCTAAGCGATTTTCCATAGCTTTCCCCTTTTGTTATAAATCATTTAATTTCTGACATTGCATTTCCCCCCCGTGTGTAGATCCACCCCAAGTAGTTGGATTCAAGAAGGCATGCAGAATAATTCTAAAAGCATTTACTTGGAAGTAAATCACATTATTTAAAATGTAACAGAAGCTTGATTTAGTTGGCATCCTGTACATGCCAATAATGTTTTTATTCTGGCGTCTTCCTCACTAAACATATAGACTG